AATGGACCGTACCCTCGGCCTGGAGCAGAAGTTGGAATGCAATGGTTTTAAGTCAATTAGACTGATACTCCCTTTCGCTTCACCCTGGGCGAGAGAAGTAATTTAAGGATTTTCCCGTATAAAAAAAACTGCCGACAGATTTTTAAAGCCATTTCAAAGCTCCAATTTTAATCGGGAAAGTCGTCTAAACCCGCATCCCCTGGCTGAAACTACTAAAATCAATATCGATGGTAAAATTATCTAAACGACATTACAGATATACGATTAAATCTTCATTCAATAATTATTGCTGGCCCTTGTTAAACTACCAAATGACATAACGAAGTCAATTGTTATCGATGTTTAATGAATCACATGAATGATGTGAGCAGCTGTTGATAGGATTGGCAAAGTTTACCGTCATGCTTCGTTGGTTGTACAGTGTACACACACATAATTTGTCAGGCGGACACCGTTCATTGGTCTTCGCTTTGTGAGAAGTACATTCAATGCGCCAAACCATAATTGAGTTTGACAGTACGTACTTGGCAGCGCATTAGTGTTGTCTGCTTAGTAATATCGAAATACTAGAACTTTAGAACAATTTTCTTTTAGTCTATACTTTGCTTTTTGTTTTTGCTTGACCGTGCTTTATTACACCGTCACGGACGAAGCGGTTTGCTCTTAATTTTATAATCAGAACCGCTAAGGAATGGGATTCTTTGCCGGAGTCTTTATTCTTCAAGGATTGAGTGAATAGGTTGCTTAGGGGTAGGCGTCCTCTATTGTAAGTCGCATCATCGCTTTTAAGTGTGGGAGAGCCATGCTTCGGTACGTATGGGTCGGCTCGACCGGAGTGATACCACCGCCTCACAGAAAACCACAGCGTTGTGTTTCGCCATGTGAGAGGTTACCGGAGGCCCAATCCTTCCCCACCCCCAATCCCTCCTCAATCCCTAAATCTCCAAATCCTTAATCCCTAAAATGTTGGCAACTCACTCGTAACTCCTACGATGCGGGTGTCCATGGGCGGCACCTGGCCTGATAGCGGCTAAATGCTTGCCCATTACGAAATAAAAAGTGTTAAGCTTAAGCTAATCAAATTTACATCTAATCTAGACGAAGCATCGAGATAATTTTCAGTCACATAGAGTCTTTCACTTCCTCGCGCTCCTCCCATGATGGCAGAAGATATTGTATGATTTTCTACCTTCAAATTAAAAAAACATGAACACTCGCATAAATACATATAACCAAAATATATCCTTTAAAGCGAATATAAAATACATAATTCACGTTACCGTTGAGCAGGTCAGACGTATGAAAATTAATCAGGAAAATTTTACCGGCAGGGTTAAGTCAAATTGCGTGCCAACCTCGTCCTACAGATGTTAGAATAATAAAATATTAATTTGATGGACTTGTGTGGTACCTACTGAATATTTTAAATGGTTATTTATTGTCTGCGAATGTCATAAAGAAATGACCTTGAATAGGGATGTAATTCGAAATCCGAATATGCGTTGATTATTTATTTTCATTTTTAGTTTAATTTTGTTATGTTGTTGGCCAGTAATATTGATTTGGTGTGGCAGTTTTTATAACTGTGTTACGTTGTCTATGATTCAATGATAAGCTTGTTTCTTAGTTCTAATGATGTAATAACAATAAAACTTATTCGGCGAGCTAATAATCGTATTATATGTAAAGGTAGAATCTAGCCCTAAATATGCTGTTAAAAAGGCAAAATATTATAAATACCTTTCAAAAATATAATCCTTTGTGTAATAATTTGAAATTAAAATTGGTAGAGAAACGGTTTTTATTTTTTTCTTCTTTTTAAAAAAAAGATTTTCGCTTACCACTGCAAATCTCTTTGGACACTCAATTAAAGTTGCACCAAATGAATGCAAAGCTGCGATAGTTAGCAGAAAACCACAAAGGAACAGTTAAACATTAGAACTTTGTTTTATTATCCTAATTAACTTAAACTAGCTTCAATACTGGGTAATAGTTTTCCAGCATTTTATATGTAACTGGTATTAAGAGGGATAAATGTGTACAATGATTAATTTTTTACTTTAAAAACCGTTATTTAGATACTTACATTTATATTATTAGACACTTTTGCCTTTTTGTTATGAGATAAAATACTTTTGAAAATCGTGTTCCGGCCCTGGCCAGTTGCTGGCAAGTTTGAGTCAGTAATATATATGTATAAACACGCATTTAATAAAAGTCTCTCGGAAGCTCCCTCCTTTCAAAAGTCAAAAGTCCAAATCATTTATTTCAATTTCACCCTTTTAGGCACCTTTGAACATCAAACAAAGCTTAAAGAAAAAAGTGTCAGTTTGACAGTCAGTCCTCTCAGTGAAGCTGTTTATTTGCTCGTTTTAAAGTGTAGATTACAATGCGGAAACGAGCAAGAAACTCCATGGTTATCCTTTTCAAGTCAGATACAGATGCATACATACAGATTCTGTACTACATTTTTGAAGTTGGTTCGAATATGTGACAGCAGTGTAACATTTATTCAAAAAAAAAACAAAAAGGCAAAAAGAAAAGTCATCGTCAAAATCAATGTTTCAATTAAACCCGGCAGTTTCGAACTACAGGCAATTTCGAACGTCTTTTATAATTAAAAATGTAATCTAGACCATATAAATGAAGCAATCTACTAGATCACCAATACGATAATACTCCATACTTGGGTATTTGAGTGGCGAACTCATTTACATAGCAAATAGATACTGAAACAAGTCTTATGTTCGATGCTAAGAAAAGATGGTGTCCTTTTCCATTCTTCAGACTCGGAATTCCATTAATGGATTACTTGACTATGTTGAGTCCACAGTCTACATCCTGACTGTTCTAGACTTTATGTTGCTTTGACCGTGTCGTGTGTCTGTCTGTTTTGTCTGACTTTGCATGTAATGCAACCTTTCGTAAATTATTTTCTATTCGCTTAATAGTTGTATAAATAGATCTCATTGCTTATTATTTTGGGACTAACACTACCTTACAAAATATCGCTATTTGCACCTTCTGAAAACGTTTTATCAGATTTTCTTTAAAAATTGGTTTGTCTACTGTTCTGATGATGCATATTTTTATTATAGTTTAAATTCAAGTCATGTTTTCGTACAAGTCAATTTTATATATAAACGTCTAGGGTCACGACTTTCATCTCCAAAGGAGTAGACGGATACGCATATCTATACTAATATTATAAAGAGGTAAAATTTGTAAGTTTGTAAGTAGGAGGTAATCTTTGAAACCGCATGTCGGATTGCCAAAATTCTTTCCCTGATAGATAGCTACAATGTTCCTGAGTGCTATAGGCTATAAAACATCACGCTACGATCAAATGGAGTAGAGCAGCGGGTGAAACCGCGCGAAAGTAGCTAGTAATATTATACTTTTTAATAGACTTGTTGCCTAACACGGAATACAGTTGCAGACGGGAACCTATAAAAAATAAGCCCCTTTTTTGAGCGGGAAAATCATCAAATGCCACCCTAGATAAGATGAGATGTAAAAGGGAGTACCACTCTTAGTAACTTAATACCACCTCGTTCCTTCTCCTGCCACGGACCAGGGTCAATGTACATTATTGCACCTACACCTTAACCCCTTTAAGGGCAATTTAGGTACCTGATGCGGATTTCTTATCCGTTTTACACAATTAAAACAATAAATCTCTTATATGGTCTAACCAAACAAAACCTTTAGAAGCATGTAAATGATCCCTAAGTACATTGATCTCAATTGTTGCTCTTGTATGTGTTTAACGAGCTAGTGTTCGACCAAAGAAAGAGTCTTTGGCATTAAATAATGGATAATGACCCTAGCAGGTATAGTCTAAACTGTTAAGCATTAAATATTCCTGCCACGAGCCTCAAATGAAAGGTGCGAAGTTACGTTCTCGATCCGTCAAAGTGGTACAAGACTATTCATTTAAGTCCTCGAAGAGGGGGGGGCAGTGGTTACATTTTTATATATTTTAGTATTCTAGTCCGGCTGAGGTCGGCCCAGATTTGTGTTAGCATCAATTTGGATATTAAGCGTACCGTTTGTTAAAACATAATATTATTTGATACAGTCATTCGCCAAATTAGCCTTTTCTTCTATGTTTTTTGTTTTCCAAGAACTGTCACATGTTTTTATATTTATAAATGTATTTGTTATGTAAGGAATCCTAATTAATAATAATCCTACTGACTGCTGTTTAGCGTGTCGCGTCTTCGATTCTCGCACGGAATAACACTTCTTCTGATCCATACCATGTTATTCCCAGTCTGATATTTAACGCCCTCGCCGCAGGATAAATTCCAAATAGTGTAAAGAACACATACACACATACATAGATGAATGCATCCGAAGAGATGGGCCACTATTGTAACCAGGTGGACACCTTAGGATGAACGCTCGAGTATAATGGTAATGTGTAGGCCCCGGAAAAGATGGCGTGACGATCGAGACGCCTACCGTCAAAACTAATGGACACGGTCGAAAGTTCGGGAGGTGTGAAAGCGAGATGGGGAGGCCTTTGCCCAGCTGTGGGACATTATAGGCTTGTAAAAAAAGAAAGATGATGCTGTCGTGTTTTGTCTTATAAGGGAGCAGACGAGCAGAAAGACCACCTGATCGTAAGTTATCGGGCGCCGCGCATGGACACCCAATTGTGTTTTTTTTTTTTTTTGTGAGACAAACCCACTGCAACGAATACAGCTACAATGATAGCCAGAATCTACAGTAGATACAACCATGAGAAAACCGGAACGGTGAACGGAAGTTCGGCGCGTCTAAGGGACCTGAATGACTGTCCGAATGGATCCGGCAACGAAATAAATCACAAGATATTATTTAAGGAATCGAAATAAAAACCAAATAGTTCCACCCCGATTTCTAATTACGTTTTTTTTTTGTTTTGTGTTTAAAAAAATGGTCTGTTGCTGGCCATTTAAGGAATGGGAATTAGCGATGATGAAATGGGTAAATTTAATTGTTTTTATTTTCAGGTTAATTTCCTTCTTCCTATCGTGCCTTCTCGCCATTGCGATTTGCTGCGGACTGTCTGTTGCCGTAGTCAGTGGCATCGCCTATGGGTACAACTACTCAATGGCCGAGTATATCACATTCACGCGTACGTACCATATCATTTACAAATAGATAAAAGGTTATACTCATCACTCAATCGCTTATTGAAATCCATATGTATTCAAAAGATGGTATAGCAATCATACGAGATTAATATCAATATTCATAGTATATTTAATATTGTCAACTGCAAAGACCGTAATTAAGTAACTAGATAACTAACTGCATCGGGAAGCAAATATTCAGTATGCCCAAGAACTCAAACCCGATCCCTGTTAAGTCTCTGGATTCGGTATCCATCATTGGCCTTAAAGACAAGACGAAAGAGTCTTCAAACGCTTATCAACGTGATGATTTCCATAAAAGGTGAAATAAGCACTATCCTTTATACCATAATGAATTACCCTAGGATTTCAACTAGCCCGAATTATTGACCAAAATAATTATTAAAATGTTGATACATTAAATATTATGTGCCATCTGCATCGACCGCAATTAAGACTTGCACCTTATCATGTCATTCAATTTATAAAGAACCAACCCAATAATTAATAATACTGATTTAGTAGTTTATTTACGCCAAAGCCGTGCAAGATTCATAGAGATAACAAACTCTATGAATCTTGCACGGTGGCTTGACTAGTACCTACTAATGCTTTGGTGTGTTTTTTTGTCTTGTACAATAGATTTTCCACCTAATTACTATAATACAATAGCGTAAGTTTATGAATGTACTTTCCCCAGGTTCTGATATCACCGTGTTTATGAGGCGCGGAGCATTCTCAAATGCTGCTAGTCTAGCACCAATAGATATGGGACTAAAAGAAAAAAAGCCAAGAAGATCTGGCGGTAATGAAGAGGATTGTAAGTACTTGATCAATATTATATTTATTACTAGCTTTTGCCCGCGACTCCGTTCGCGTGGAATAGTGACTTCCTGCAGATTTTTGGTATAAAAACTATCCTTTGTCCTTTCTCGAGTTCCAAACTATGTCTGTACCAAATTTTACAGAAATCGGTTCAGTAGTTTAGGCGTGAAGAAAAGACAGACAGACAGAGTTACTTTTGCATTTATATTATTAGTTTGGATAATGTTCAACTTAACAATTTTAGGAAGTCAAAGGAAAAATCATTACAATGAAAATAGGGATCGGATCACATAGACTTATTTACTGATTTTGCCAAATTAATACAAAATTAAATTTTTTTAACTTCATTACTAGGAATTAGAAAGTTGCACTCAAATAGCTTTAAAAAGACAAGCACCATTAATAACAGAATATTGTTCAACCTTTGTAATAAGCATAAGTCTCCCAAAAGTATGTGTAGGTTCGTATTTATGAAATAAAGCTAATTTAAAATCTTCATTGCTCTCAGCTGGTGCTGAGGGCAGACCTTTTAAGGGAGACATATTGTCTTTTGTAACTATAAAGTAAAAAAAAACTTGCAATTGGTGGCGAGCACAGATTACCTGATGGTAAGCAATCAGCGCCGCCCATGCACTCGTAGCACCAAAGAAATCACTATCACATTGGCGTTGCCGGCCTCTTGTAGGTTATTCGAGATTTAAGGAGAGCGGGATCTGTGGATTGAGGATAGAAGAGGGGGTAAGAATTAGGCCTCCGGTAACCTCACTTACGCGGTGAAACGCAACGTGCTTCACGCCGATTTTCTGTAAGACCGGGGTCTATAACTCCTATCGAGCCGACCCATTCGTGCCGAAGCATATAGCTCTCACATAATAATTAAACAAGAAATTCAAAAAAAAACTTTTACAGTATTTAATGGAACCGCTAGTGACTATGAAGATCATAAACCACCAGCAGAAAGTAAGCCTCTAGCTGACACATGGCTAAAGACTCAAGATACAAGGAAGTATGCAGAGATCTTGACGAGGTACAATCCAAACAAAAGGGCGGAGGTCCAGAGTGGGCCTGCTCGCGAAGTAGTACCTATTCAGGGTGTTCAGCAAAACCAGCAACCAGTTATTAGAGAACCACCTATTCAGGAGCCATCTCCTCAGGAACAGTCTTATCGGGATCAAATTATTCCTGTGCAGGTAAGCACAATACCTAGAAACAAAAAAAAAAATTAACCAATAATAACGTCAAAATTCAAAGACAATTTGGGATTTACTCCTGAACACACATTAACGTCGTGGTAGCCCACGACGTGATTATGTGCTAATAATGTGAACACACACTTGAAAAGACATTTAAAGATATCGTGAAGACAAAGTTCTATTTCTCATTAAGCACAACTCTAGTATAATTTAAATAATATTTTTTTGTGAGTGGAAAATCATCCTATTCTTCTATCGACCAAGGTATGGCGAGAGGGAGTGGCACTCTTTTTGACTAAACCCCGTGCCTTCTCCTGCTCCAGGATCTGTTTTTCTTTTTTTATCTTCACATCGTTCTTTCCTTTCGTTTCAGGGTCAACCAGGTGCTATACATTATAGGCCAAGTCCTGACACTCCAGTTATATCCATCATGCCAAACCCTATGATTCCGACTGTCTCCTGGCGAAGCGGATCTTCAGAAATAATGATGAGAAACTTCCAACCAGTTCAAGATCACACATCGGGAAGCAAACACACAGAAATGCCTGAGAACTTGTTCCCCATCCCTGATAAGTCTCTGGATTCGGTATCCATCATTGGCCTTAAGGATCAGGCAAAAGAGTCTTCAAACGCAAATCAACGTGATGATTTCCATAAAAGGTGAAATGAGAACGATACTTTTTACCTTAATTAATTACACTAGGCTACTAATAAGTCCGAATTATTGGCTAATATAATTATTAAAATATTGGTCAAGTCATATAAATCTCTCGTCGACTCGTCAAAACTTCTATTAAGATAGTATTTTCGTACAAATTTTAATATGTATTTAAAGCTTATGAAGTAGGGAAGCGGTTACAATGAAGTAATCTATGTGCCGATTCCACAGTTACGTGCCGATGCGAGTGTGGGGGACAACTGCTAGAGCTGTCATCGCTGACGAGCCTGAAGATGTGGATGAGGATAACGTTGTCTACAAGCCTGTATAGCTGCAGAATAATGTAGAAAGTGGGCCTAAACTTACAAAGATACACCTTTCCACATCGATAACATCTTTATGACATCTGTTATTAATAAATTTGAATCAATTTTACCTCCTCTTTTTACTCACACTATTAACACGGTGGCAGACCAACCAGCTGCCGTGCAATCAGTCGCTTCCATTGCTGCACGGAACAAATCTTTGATGTACAATTTGTATGTAGTTCCGTATTTTAGATGTGATATCATCATTAGTCTGAATCCGTACACTACTGAGCATAGGCCTCCATTGCACGCCACTGAGCTCGATGTTCAGCTCTTCTCATCCAACCACCAACACTACTTTTGCCTTGACAAATGTGACCTGCCCACTGACATTTCAGTTTGCTAAGCCTTTAATTGCCTGTTTCGATGATAAATGTGATGTTTATATATTTATATAAAATTGTATGTATGTTAATGAACCTATCACACAAAAGAAATACTGGTATAGCAACTGGGGCAGCATTTATTTTTTATATGGTGGAATCTTATGAAATTTGTAAATCTGGTAAAGAATTGCTCTGGACTTGTTTACTACACTACACAGGGTGCTCTCCTGCAACAATGGAAGATAAAAATAGCTCGTTAATGGCACAGCTATTACTGCTACTTAATTGCACGTAGTCGCAACGTAAGGGATCCTAAACACACAGTAATATGATAACAGGCCTTCCACACGATATTATTATTATATCCACCCCATTTGTGCCGCTTATCAGATAAATCCGAATAAAATTTTTAATTATTATTCATTGTACTATTTTTGAATTACACACATTGGTATGGAATAATCGCAGCCCAATAGTGGATCTAGATAAGTCAACCGTTTGTGCAAAATGTCTAAAAATAACAATTCTAATGATATACACAGGCTGCCGAGACAAGACTGGTTTTGCGCTTGTGAACCAAAAAAGGGAATCGACGTTCGGGCTCCAACCAAAAAAAAATAACATAGAAAGCGTTTTTTGCTTTACAAAAAAATAGTAAAAGCATAACTGAGTTAGAGCCCCGAAACATCTACCCATAATGGTATTTGAAACTCCGCCAAAACTTCAGGCAAAATTTGATTATTTTACAAGTCTTTGGAAAAAACAAAATCTTGCCCAGAGAGTTATTATTTGCATTGTTTATTCATTTATAAACATTTTAAGCATAAAAAAATCAACTAAACTCCTATCTCCCAAGCCACTGCTTTGAGATTCACACCAGGTACTAAACCTAAATAATAAATATATATAATATACACACGATGTAAACTATTAAATCAGTTCTTACAATGCTAGCCAGTATATGGCCTAAATTCTAGAACTATTCTAACCTATGCTATTAGAACTACGTGTCTATTTAACCGCTGAATTATGTCAGGGACTGTGATTCGTTTGCAGATCTCCTCATTTCTAATTCAATCAGGAAAACATCAAGTCTGGCTTTATCCAAAGCATGCCGAGTGACCTTGAACGTTTCCACTAAATCACAGTAAGAGACCACATTCCCTTGCCACTGTCACTGGTAACTCACATTAATAAGACTTTCGTCTTTCGTATGCTGGACGAGAAGACGTTGCGTTCTTTCTAGAAAATAAACCTATCCAACTGGATCACTTGTCCTAGGCAGGCAATTTATCAACAATTTTGAGACTTTAGCTCTCTATTGCAGTACTGATATCGAGTAGACCGTAATACAGGCATTTGACATGACTTGCGTCTTGTCCATATTCTTTCGAAGGCCTTCCTGTTGTAAAACTTTAAAGATGTCATCCAGCATTTTGCTGGTGGCTTCTACTTTCAGCTTAGTCTGCCGACTTTACCCACTAGACATGTGTTTTAGTAGTATAGGTTCCTCCTCTTGTCGGACTTCTTACAGCACAACAATCTCCTCGTCAGTCCTCAAAGTGCGTGTTGTCTATTAATTGGTCCGGTCGTTTTTGGCTGTAGGAGTACCCGTTCCATTCCGTTGTACTGCTTCTTGTGAAGCATTCTTAAACTTCACAATTTGTTTGGTGTTTTCTTCTTTGAAATCGTCATCTTCTGAGCATTCTGCAGGGGGCATAGCACCACCTGAAACCAATATCGCAGATATTTAATAGTTATATAAGTTACTATTGTGCATGTTCTTTGGCTGCTCGTTATTTGTGAGTCACGTGTACTAAACGTTAAGGACCAATAGAATAGCAGGTGCAAGAATAGTCTACCTTGCACGTGCTGAACTGGTGCCCTTTTCAACGAAGACTTTAGGCAAAGACCACTACTATGCCATTCTGTAAGTACGGTTTCTCTTGATTTGCTCTCAGTTAATGTTATTAATGCAGAATGGCATTTGGCTTTTAAAACTTATATAGGATGTTATTTGAATCGCAATTCGTATTTATCTGTATCTGACACTATCATATTTATTTTAAATCTATATTTGCACCTCCGATTTGCACCCAATACACAGGAGAACGCCAAAGTGCATGGCAACTAAAAAATAACTAAATTTTGCCTTTACGAAAGGCAAAAACACAAAGAGTTTCACATCAAAGAACATCATACAGCCTTAAAATAAAAACAAAATGTAGTGTAAAGAAAAGTTTAAAAAAACCATCGTAGACTACTAGATGAAATTGATGTAAATTACAGTGAAGCATCAACTGTCACACATTATAGATACCAGAAAGTAAAAACATATGTAGGTATTTATTTAGTTTTATTGAAATAAACTTACTTTGGTTCTCCTTTTCCATTGATCTGGGCGCTGGTGTTGTTGTCGTCGTGGTTGGACGTAAGGCCTCGCGTAAAATGGCCTTCAAATGAATCCTAATGGCTATAGGCAACTCACTCAATAAGTGGCCGTATATCAGGCTTTCTATTGACTCGTGCTTGTAAGATGGCAGCGTTAGTATCATTTCTCTGAAATCAATAGTAAGGTGTTTTTATGGTATAGGTCGGTAAACGAGCAGACGGATTACCTGATAGTAAGCAATCGGCACCGCCCATGGACACCCGCAACACCAAACGAGTTACGAGTGCATTGTCGGCCTTTTGAGGATAGGGGTTGCGGATATAAGGATCGGGAAGGGATAGGGGATGGGGCGGGATTGGGCCTCCGGTAACCCCACTCACGCGGCGAAACACAACGCTGTGGTGGTTTCACGCCGGTATTCTATGAGGCCGTGGTATCACTCCGGTCGAGCCGACCCATTCGTGCCGAAGCTTGGCTCTCCCACACTTGAAAATGGTGGTAAAATAATTAAGTATTCCAATCCTCTCAGTATTGCCCGAAAGCAGCAGCAGCACTTGTAATGGTACTTCTGGTTACGGATGGCCGTCCATAAGCAACTCTGAATATTTACCATCAGGAGAACAGTCAAGAATTGGTTTGGCACATGACATGAGGGATATACCATGAAAAAGTTAAACGACTAAGTTAAATCAAATTGTGAAAAAATCTTTCATCATTCGGAAATAAAATAATCTTTAATGCACTAAGCCCGGGTTACAATATGTGTAACTCATAATCGTATTTTGTATATGATTTTTTGTTTTATGTTTTAGTTACTGGCAAAAGTTAATATCTAATCTTATCGGACTAGATTATTCACTAAATCACTAGACTTGAGCTATATTAATGTGCATTTGAAAAGACACAATTATAGCAATTTAGTGTCTATGGGATCAAAAGTAACCTATGTATTATTTCAGGCTATGCTTTTCCACGTCTATGTCATTCCAGACTCGACAAATTACTAAAATGCACGTTCATTATTTCCAGAGTAAAAGACTGACATCCATATTTACGTATATGTCCATCCTCATAAACATTACAATTTATAAGAATAGTAAGTGTAAAAAAGTACCTGTATCCAGTAACCCGAAGTGTTTTATAGGAACAGCCATTTAAAATAGACATTTTTCTATTTTTGTTCTCATCTAACCGTACGTCCATTTGAAGATCTACGGCCAAATCGTTTATTACAGCTGCAAACGAAAATCGATCTAACTTCATCCCCTTTACCAATTCGAAGAAACCTTTGACCTGTAATATTTACATAGAAATTATTTTAATTCTACTTGGTGTCATAAGAAACAGCCGGTTTTCGACCGAATTCCAAATCTGACGTAGCTCTTTATATCAAGCTAATGCGCTCGGTCTCGCGGTTCTTTAGATGGCAGACCGTGGCTCGACCATCACTTGACCGAATGGCCCGTTGCATCCCAAAAGAGTCAGAGAGTAATTAGACCATAGCCGCGACCAATGGACGGTCTGTAAGTGTTTGACACTCTCTCTAGCCCCACCTAAGGAGGGCGAAGTAATAGGAAAATATGTCATTTGCCTGTTAAAAAAAATTGCTTAGTTTTAAGTTTTTCGCAACCAGATTCAATGCACATAGCTTAAGTTCCTCTAAAATACGCATTTGTACAACGAACTGCCGTTTTTTCAAATCTTACGAAGACTATGCCAAAGTCATGATACTCGTAACTTGATCGTGTTTCACTCCTGCACTAACCTGTAAGGTGCTAAACCGCATCTCCTCAGCAATCATTATGGTATCCATCTTGTATGGTCCACCACTATGAGCTGCGTACATCGTGTCCAATCCAAAGAGTACCATCTCCTTAAAAATTACCGTTTGGCCAACGCTTTTCTTAGCACTTAGAGCGAACTCGGACTTTTTTGAAAACAAAATTTAACAAAGCGTTACTTCATGGTTTATTTTAACATTAAGTATGTAAAAATGTGAGACTTTTGGTTAGCTATAAGCCCTATAAGATACACGACGTACTTCGCAGATCCCATGTCCTTATTGAGAATGTTAGAAAATCTAATAATCCAGTGATTTTTTTATGTAGGGGGTCGGCAAACGAGCAGACGTAAGATGATAAATTGATGGTAAGCAATCAGAGCCACCCATGGACACCCGCAACGGAGGTTACGAGTGCGTTGCCGACCTTTTAGGGATTAGAGTTTTGGAGATTTAGAGATTGGGAGAGATCGGGGGAGGGAAAGGTTTGAGCGTCCGGTAACCTCACTCACACGGTTAAATACAACGCTGTGGTTGTTTCACGCCGGTTTTCTTTGAGGCCGCGGTATCGCTCCGGTCGAGTCGACCCATTCGTGCCGAAGCTTGGCTCTCCGATAGTGATAACTATTTTCCTAATGATCGATCTGTTTTTAAGAGATACGGTGGCAAACGAGTCTCTATATCACCTTATGGTAAGCAATCGTCGCCACCCATAGACACCAGAGAAGTTATAAGTGTGTTGCCGGCCAATGAGAGTTTTGAATTCGGGATTGGTCAAGGCAACACAACGCTTAGGTTGTTTCACGCTGGTTTTCCGTAAGTTCGTTGTATCACTTGGATCGAACCAGCCCATTAATGCCGAAGCACTGCTTGCTCACATTTAGATTTATTGTGTCCACCGTTCAAAATATCTAACTATTCAATACAATTTATTAACGACTAGCTTTTGTCCGCGACTCCGTTCGCGTGGAGTCTCGAGTTCCAAACTGTGTATGTACTAAACTTCACAGAAATCGATTTAGTAGTTTAGGCGCGAAGAAAAGAGACAGACAGACAGAGTAACTTTCGCATTTATAATATATAGTATAGATAGTATAGATTTACGTGTACGAGCACGCCACAGATACAGCATTTTGCCGGAGCGACTTGCTAGCTGAGCATTAGGTTTTCTTTCTCTCTCTCTCTCTCTCTCTCTCTCTCTCTCTCTCTCTCTCTTTCTCAATAAATTATGTATGTCTCACGATAGTTACTTCTATATTTTTTTTCGAAATTCCCTATTCACAGACTGATACTTACTTTTCCATCATCCCAGAAAACATGATGGTCATTCAACGGAATCAGCGTTTTCTTTCTGTCAATAGTAATCTTGTTCAAGTTCCTATGGATGTATGTTAGGAATGTCGCAGTTTCTGCGAATATCTTCCTCTGTTCGTCTCTGCAATAGAAATACGATCGTTAAAGAATACGGTAGTTTCCAACTATTCAAATTCAATACTTTTATCCAAATGTCAAAAACGATACGTTTCTATGAAATTTGTATGAAAAACTAAATTACGACATCATAGTTTTTTGCGTCATATAGCTTACTTGTTTCTTAATAATTAGCTAAAAAATATCTAAAACTTAGTGTATCGATCGATCGATGAATAAAAGTATACTTATTTTTCAGTATTTTATTATATTGAAACGTCGAATTAATTTATTTTTGACCTAGGAAACTACACAATTATTGCCAGTCGAAAAACCTCGCGTAAAAAAGGCTTACTTAAATTCTAAATTTAAAAAGCGCGTTATAAATTTAAACTGACATATATCCCTGAAGTTTATCGCCAAACAAGGAGGAAGTGTTAACGAAACTGTACATAGCCGCTTGTAACTTTCCGTACAGGTCTTCTACGATGGGTTTTAACACCAAGTCTTTGAGGCCGAGACCTGTTGAGTGAAAAGATTCAAATTAATCATCAATCATCAACAGCCTTTAAATCCTAGGCCTAGGAGATTAACCTTAATCCCCAACCCCACGTTCGACAAGCTGCTAGGGATTCGTCAATGGCAATAGTTTGAAGACAAACTATGACCCAATCCTTTTTCTTTCTTCTTTAAAAAACGTTGCCTTATATTAGAATGTCCTTCTGTATCGTGGATGGTTTTACAAATAAACAAGTTTACATAGTCCCGCCATTTTCCGCAGATGCCATAGTCCTTCCATAGTTGCTATCATACCAGATCATAGCACCCCACATTATTCCTAAAAGACCTACACTAACTAGGCACTGTCCTTAAGCGCTGGCTGGTGTCGCATTTCACATAGGTCAAAAGCTTTTTAAAGAACATCTGGGCAGTTGGCATCTGCCCCTCATACGCCTCCCATATGACACGCTGCCTAAGGTAGATATATAATTTTATACTTACTCCACTCATCATCTCTTTGGGGCTGGTACTTCGCGATAACTGGAGGTGACTCATCACCTGTATGGTAGATCTACCAAATAAAAAAAAACAATTATATTCGTTGAATGATACGACGTGCAATATTTGTTATGCATTATGGCATTAAAATTTTTTTTATCTGATAGGATGACAAACGAGCTCACATATTACCTGATGGTAAGCGAAATCAGCGCCGCCCATGGACACACGATACACCAGAAAAGTTCCGATAATGTTGCCAGCCAATTGAGGACAAGGCGTTTACGGAGTTTTGGTGATCCGAAGGGGGGCCCAGAAGGATTGTGTCCCCTGGTAACCTCATCCAGACAGCGAAACACAAAGCTGTGGTTATTTCACGGTTTTCTGTGAGGCCGTGGTATTACGCCGGTCGAGCCGACCCATTCGTGTCGAAGCATGGCTCTCTCACACTAGTATAATTCTAGTATTTGATATAAATCCATTTCCACAAAATAGGTCCGCAGCTTGAGGACTTTATAAGAAACGATGACACTGATATAACTAAATATCATAATGGCAGGCACTATTAGAGTGGGGTAGCCCACGCGGGCAGCTTTGTTCATTTTCGTATTTTTCGATTTGAAATTTGTTGAATAAGCACGGCTTCTGCATGAACCTAAACTGCACGTATGCATGCCACAATCCTTCAAGAGGTTATTCTATGCAACTCCACTTACTCTTCAGATATTTATTCATTGGTAGAAACGTATTAAATTTCAATACTGTAAATAAGAGACATTGATGCCTGCTAAGCATAATTAATTGGAAAGCTCAATATTACACAGTCGAAAAACACAAAAAGGTACTGCAACGCATATTTAAATCCATTTTTTTCCTGGTAATCACTTTTAAACCTTTGACTGCAAAATAAATACTGTCGATAAAAACATTGATTACCTCAACATTGATAACACATTTTATTAATTTGAAATGATCATATCCTAGATTGACTGAGTTGCCGCTCAATGTTGTGATAAAAAAGCCGGAAAGTATGCAATCATCCAAGACCAAACTGAAAAAAAAGAACATGTCATGTTTCACATCACATCATCAGCATAAGTGCCCACTGCTAAGCAAAGGCCTCTGCTTACACGGAGATGGTTTAATATCTTCACATGTTTCATTTGATATTTGGGGAATTTTCACAATAATATCTATCTATCCTCCTACTAGCAGTACATATGCGCAAACCTATACCACAATATCTTCGTTCTTCTAAAAACCGTCTCCTCCAATGTCCAACTCATCAGACTAAATTACAAATTCTTGTGTATAAAGATATTAAATACATAAATATTGATTGTTTGTATTTTTAATGATTATCCATTTGTCACCTCGCCACCATATTATTATCATCTCGCATACGTGACGATGATCGCGTCGTGTGTAGACCATAAAACATTGATTAATTCTTTAATGGAAATAAAAATTATTTTTACGAAACTTGAGTTAAATTTCAGTTTTTTTTATGTGATAGGTCGGCGAACGAGCAGTCCGATTACCTAATGGTAAGCAATCAGCACCGCTCATTGACACCAGCAACAACAGAGGAGTTACGAGTTCGTTGCCGACCTTCTGGGGATTTGAGAGATTGGGGAGGGATTTGGGAAGGGCGGGCGACACGGCAAAACACAACACTGTGGTTGTTTCACGCAGGTTTTCTTTTCTGTGGTGCCGTGATTTCATTTCGGTCGAGCCGACCCTTCCGTGCCGAAGCATGGCTCTCCCACACTTCATAGGTTAGTTATAAGTTCCTATATTATACATAAATATTTACTTCATTCAATTTCAACTAAGCACTGCATACCAGAAAATCATTATAAAGTTATTTGTTTAGGTAGGTGTGTATGCAAAGAGAACTTTCTTAAATGATCCATGTTTATTTTTTACGTTATTCAGACGCAATTACTCTAAACATTGAGACGACACAGAGAAAAGTATTTATACAACAGAACAGCTAATACCTGAATATTCCAAGAATTGCGCGTGATTAAAAAAAATCTAAAAAAACTTACGCAACTTTCCCATTGTTTTGAACTTGTTGGTACAAAAATGGCGACCAATTTGCAAAATCCTGTTGTCTTTTATCGTAAATGATTCTTGTCTTGTTTCGCATAAGTGTATAATCTGCGTTCACTATCACTTTGCTTAGACCAGTTTGCAACTTAAGGACGTTGGACGCCAAAGAAAATTGCACCTCCGGCATCCAAAAGCGAGGGATTTCTTGTAAGTTTAAGTTCTTGACGATTCTGAAATGAAGACAATGTTCTCTCGAATGTACATTTCTCGATATGTACTATACTTATCTACGTATAAACCTTCTCCCGAACTTCAAAATTAGCCAAATGGGTAAAGGCATTGTTGAGTTATGACATTACATCGAAAAGTGGCACTGATTTTTATATACTATATTGATAAAATGTTTAGTATTTGTTATAAAAGACTCAAAAACCTATGAGCAATTTTGAAACAAAACTGTTTTTACGGAAATCTTACTTATAAGAGTACCTACAACTCCCATATTCATACGCTATTTTTAATTCTAATATCGATATCCACGTGGGAAAAGCCGTGCCCGCGAAGCTAGTTAAGAACAAAAAAATATACATAATACCAACAGACGTATTTGATTGTCATCGTGGCAATATCCCTTCGCTAGTGTTAGTATTGGGTTTTTCATGTAGACATTAACACCAACCAATCCCATAGTTTCTCTCAGATTCTGAAATATTAAATAATTGGTAAACAATTACCTAACCAAACGCAATTTAAAAATTTTAAAATAACCTACAAGTCATATTATTGGAATACCAATCTATCCGCACCCTTGAAGGCTTTTTTTGTCTGAGAAAAATCATCCCCAAAGGGGAAAATCATCAAATCACTGCTCCGCACAGGGTCGGGCGGAAAGGAGAGTCAGACACTGAGTAAACACCCCCCGTTCTTCCGCATTGCGCTTACCCCGCAACCCCAGCTGAACAGCATAACCCCATAGAGCCCCGTCTGTAGGGGTCTATTGGCGCTTTTTGGCGCGCGGGTCTGGATCTGGTCGGGCGGTAACTCGCCATCCGCAGACCCCGCTTCCGGTGACCGGAGACCTCTTCTCGACCTCTGGCGACGCTCGGAGTTTTGCCGAGAGATTCTCACCTCACCCTGGGCGACTGAAGCCATTTGATGACCTCATAAAAAAAGGTTGTCTTAAATTCCTACATACTGTGTCGCAACGTTTACGCTGGCCGGAGATCTTTGAGCGATCACTTCCTTTGAAACGTCTGCTACGGCAACCGGAGATCTCCAAATCCCTATACCTACCCTCTAAATGTCGGCAACAACGCACTTGGTGTTGCCGAAATCTGCTACGGATGTTCAATAGGCAGCATTAACTGATTACCATCAGGTTATCCGTCAATATGTCATCACGTCTTAAAGCCTCCGAAAGATAGAGAAAGTTGTACAAAGTAAGTTCAGGCGTAAAGTTTTTCACCGTTATTTATTTTGTCTTGATGGGATTATAAAGTCATTGATGAGGTGGGAAACGGGGAATTTAAATAAAGTTTATGTGTCAGATGATATATGTAGGTGGTTACCGTAGCTATGGAATGTTCCATCGACTTCCTGTAGAGCTCCCAATCTTTTCTGAGTTGTTGAACGCCATCTGTACAAAAGTACTATGAAAATAAAATCTCAATTATTAAGTAACGTACAGTAAAAAGGGAACTGCATTTAGAATTAGGAAAAACACTTACTAGGAAAAATATTTTAGGAGTCAGTTGTTCATTTTGAAACACAAAAAATTTTGTATTTTCCGGTAGGATGTAACGTTTAATGAATCAAAAATCGTACACTGCCGTATTTAAGATTATTTTTACAAAATAACCTCACAGGACTTTATTTGTAACGCCGCCATAAATGTCTTTTCCTTCAAGTCTTTTGAAGATACCTACGTTTGGTGGTCGGCAGTATGTTCGTTATTTAGTTAAGGATGTAAAGAAAAAGAACGCCTATGAAAACATGAATAAATTCGGTGTTGATGAGGAAGAAAAAGGAGTTTGTAACAGAATGAAATCTGATGGGATAGTAAAAAATGTAGCAACCTTAAAGGAACATGGTATAAAAACCGAAAAAAGGTGTACTAAATAAATAGTTATAATTTCTTACCACTTTTATAATACTTATAAATAGCGGACTCAATTGTTTCCGAATTGGCCTGAAAAGCTGATAAGCTAACAATTAAAAATAAAACGGAAAACATATCAAGCATCCTCGCATGCATTCTGTACTACTCGATTCCTTTATCTTTCTCTCAAGTCACAACCCAAAAATCTATAATAATGAAAAAAGGAACATAAATTATGTAAATTTTAATTGAATTTCCCGATTTATGGCTCAAAAGCAAGTCGTAGATGATAAGATTTTAAATGGTTTGGTTAACAAAGATTGAATTAATGTAAAAGTTAAATAAGAACAATGAGAAAGTTGATTCTGGCATATTTTATATGTTCTAATATTAATTTGGCAATATTTTCTAAAGATAATGATGTAAGTGATTTGGACGATGAGACTCGATTAAATAGGGCGGAACCTGCAAGTAATGAAAACGGTAATCTTACTCCCATTATAGTACAGATTTTATGAATGGGTAGGGTCGACCAGTCCACCAGAAACACAGACCAGTCATAATACGGCCTATCCGAATATCGGCGTGAAAAAAGCGCACGTGTTGGGATTCACTATGTCTGTAAAGTCCGACGTCAACAACAACGTCGACGGCAACGCACTCCTTTGGTGTTGAAGCTGGTATTTTATATCCTCTAGCTGCACTAATTTTCCAAGATAAAAAAGAACTTTCTAGAAATAGCCCCATCTGCGCTTAGAAGGTGTCATTAACCGTTGATTTGCACAGTACATAATAATCGTCTCCTCTGAGATCTGTAAGCGGGCGACGAGACACCCTAGATACGCCCATGGCTTCATAAGAAAGGCCCCCCATTATGTACCTTATAAATGGCGTAAAATTTATTCTAAACTACTATACATTCGTACACTTCCGTATCGAAATAAGTGCAAGAATAATTTAAACTGATACTTTATGTTTACAGAAATTTCGGGCGATTCAGAATCGATATGTTGGATGACCTTGAATTCTTCTGCGCTATTTAAGACCCTGGATGAAATTGACGGTAACAATTTAAAAACAAATACGACGATGAATGAAAGGGAAAAACGATTGCAGTGGGAGAGAGAAAGAGAAAGACATTTTTAATTACGATGTAGTTTGAAAGCAGATTGTTAGTAAAGGTTAATAATTAGGAAATGCAAAAATGATTATCATCATGTTGTCTGGATGTGATGTGTTTGTGAAACTGTAAACGCACCCGCGACACAGGAGAGAGATAAAAAAAACCATAACTTACTTCTACTTATTCACAGAACGTTATCATGAAACGCGGGCGCATGCTCAAAGGGCACTGATGGATGCTCACTTTGATATCACGATGATATATGTACGTACTTTTTAACTATTTGTATATATATGTAGGTACATTTCTTATAATCTTTAAAATATGAATGGACGGTCATTGTAACTGAAGATTATGGTAAAGGTTGTTTTTACCTTTATTCAGCTAAGTCAAAAATAAATAAATTAGACGTTTTAATACAATTAAATATTGAAAAATAACTATACTTTTATTCATCAATCGATCGATACATTTTGTTTAAGATTTTTTGTAGCTAATTATTAAGAAATAAGTAAGCTATTTGAGGCAAGAATACTATGACGTTATAACTCAGTTTTTCATACAAATTTCATGGAAAAGTACCATTTTTGACATTTGGATAAAAGTATTGAATTTGACTAGACTACCGTATTCTGGCTACTAGGTTACCGTACCGTATGCTTTTAAAAAAGGTGGCATTTTGAACTTTACTACATGTGTTCCCTTACCTTTTTGATTGTTTAGAAATACCTACCTTTATATGGCTTACACCCGGTTTCTGAAAGGGCTGGTCAACGCTAAAATTAACTAATCTCCTGTTAAATCTCTTGTCAAGTCATCTATCTGATTGGTTGTTGATAATTCAGTCAACCAATCAGATGACTTGACAAGAGATTAAATTGATTTTAACATTGATCGGCCTTTCGGAAACCGGGCGTTAGTTGAATTAAATGTCTTTGACTTTGATTTTCTTTCTATTTTTTTCCAAAAATCCGTCCTTAATATCTGTTAGGTCGTCAGTCCGCTTTAAATATCATGACTGAACATTTTGTTCTATGAATTGCTCATGCAGAGGCTGGTACAAACAAAAGGGGCTGCTTTCCGTGAAATACACAAATATAGCCACAAAGCGTGGATGATACCCTCGGGGATGAACCTCGGCGGCTATTCTATGATGAAAATGACTGACTCTGTACTGTAAGTAAATACCTACCTATTTCCTTTAAAAGGATATTTTTAACGACAAGTATATTTTTATTATAACTTTCGTGAGACATATAAAATGATTATTATGTTTTCGGCTTACTCATGTAATTGTTTTGACGAGATACTCGACTAGTTTCAAGCCATGCTGAGGCCCATATTCATGAAAATGGGTCTGAAACATAATGTGACGGAAAAGTGGTTCAAACTCTTTGACATCATGACGTCAATGGATGGTTGTCAAACGTTGCCTAGAGATTGTAAATTTCGTCGTGAATTGTCAACACGAGTTGGTGTAATCGGTAAGGCGTGTGGATTACACCACAGAGACCCCGAGTTCGAGTCCCGCCGTAAACATGAAGTTTTTTAGTTGATGGAAGTTTTGTCGAACTTTCTGGAATTATTTGTGTGAAAGAAATGAAAAATTAAAGAGCGAGAAGGAGAATAAATAAAAATGAATAACGAAATTATTGGAAGGTTCTGGAGGCATGACGATCAAAAAGAATAACGAAATTGAATGTTCCAGAACCTGACCGGGGGTATATAAGCGGAACTGCGGCTCACCGCTGGCAGTTGAGTTCTAAGTCTAAAGCGATTCGGAAGAAAAGGAAGAAGTGAAAAAGAAGAAAAGTGAGTGAAATAGTGAAGTGCAGTGAAATAGTGAAGTGCAGTCAGTTAAGTGAGTTAAGTCAGCGTGAACGGCAAAGTTGTGTCAGTCAGCCGGACTCTGCTGGAGAGGAACGCCGATAACTTAACTCCGTGGACGCTGTAACTTAAGTGCAATAGAAAGTCTGAAAACCGGTATTAGTGTTTCATTTCATCCAATCCCGTAACCCAAGCCCGCATAGTCAGGAAAGTGACGTCAGGCACGTAACAATAAGTATCTATATTTCTTTAGAAATCACTGTATTCTATTTCTTATAAAATCCTAAACCATACTTCAAAACTAGTTTTTACAATAAGTTCTGAAGCAGTCTCAGTCTAGAACCTGTTCGAACAGAAATTGTTTCCTATAGTACTTAGTGATTAATTCTTATAAATATTTTAAGATTCTTTCATCGTATGAAGCTACGCAACAACACACATTTCCGTGTCAATTTCATTCACAATGACATCTCCAAAATGATGATCACGATAAACCTGGCGCTCGTTGACCTACACCTCAAAGGAGCTTATGAGAGGGCACTCACTGAAGATGACCCTTCGGTCCTCATCTACGCCCCCAATTTTGGAGAAGTAGAGTAAGTTTAAGATTGTCATTTTTATATAACATATGTACTTAATATTAATTTCTAATGACATTATGATGACCGTTTTTTTATATCATAAGTCGACGAACGGGCAGATGGATGGTAAGCTTTCAACGCCGCCCATGGACAACCGCAACAACACAGGAGTTACGAGTGCGTTGCCCACCTTTTGGGGATTGGGGATTTGGAGATTTAAGGGTTAGGGGAGAAGAAGGATTGGGCCTGCGGTAACCTCACTCCCACGGTGAAACATAACGCTGCGGTTAGTTCACGCCGGTTTTCTGTGAGGCCGTGGTTTCACTTCGGTCGAGCCGAAGCATGAACTCCGACACTTATCGTGTATCATGACCGTAATTCATTTTCATATTTTGCTTAAGTTTCCACCCAGCACAGCATAATTATGGAACAAACTATAATTTCCTAATATATTCGGACAAGGATGACCTTCAAATCTTTAAGAAAAGAGGGTTCTCCTTCAACAACTTGTGACTTCTTAGGACCTACGCCGCTCATGGACACCCGGTGGTAATCCATCTGCTTTTTTTGCCTCATATTTATTCCAAAAATGGATTGTGAAAACTCCAATCTGATCCGATCCAATCTACTGATACAACACAGACAGGGTTTTTTTCCAAATGTCAATGGTCCATCAAGAGTGTATAATTTGCAACAATTTCAGGTTCCTTTTAAAGAATGTGAAATACTTAATGAAAGGACAATACAGATTGGTTAACAAACATCTTACCATTGAACTAGTCAAATCAGATATCGAAATCGAAGAAACACTAATGATGGTGAGTAGAAATAAATTTATGTACTTATTAACTTATGTAACAGAAAGTAAATAAGTGTTTTTTCATGTTAGAAACATATATGGATTATTAAAATAGAAGTAACAACAGTTGTTTTAAGAGTATATTTTACAATTTATACTTTTTTTATTATTATTTTTTTGTATCATAAAACTGAAGAGTTTGTTTGTTTATTTGAACGCGCTAATCTCCGGAACTTCTGGTTCAAATTGAACCAGATTTTGTGTTTGTTAGTCCATTCATCATGGAAGGCTATTACAGGCTATAAAACATCATGCTAGGATCTGTTATGTAGCAGCGGGTGAAACCGCGCGAGAGTAGCTAGTAATATACATATGTATAATAGGTTTGCAACTAAGTCGGATTTTTTTAGTTCATTTATAAATTGAAACCCCTGAAAAAATATTTAAAGTCCGAAGTCGGGTTGCGGGAGAAAACGCGGGCGTTTTTTTTTTCTGAGGGGAAAATCATCAAATGACTTCTCCCGCCCAGGACCAGGCAGGAAGGAGTGTCAGACTCTTACTGTCTAAAAACCCCCTGTACCTTCTCCTGCTCTGGGCCGAGGTCGCGGTGCCTCGTTGCGCTTACTCTGCAACCCCGGCTGAACATCAGCCCTATAGGGCCCCGTCTGTGGTGGTCTATTGGCTCTTTGAGGCGCGCGCGGAACGCTACGCGCCGTACGCTCGGGCCTGGTTCTGGTCGGGCGGCGAGCTGCCCTTACTCGCCGACCGTGGCGTGGAGTATAATGAACGGGACGGTTTTTAGTCAGTAAGAGTTTGCCACTCTCTATGATCCTACCCAGTAAAGTGTAAGCCTTCGTTGTTAAGCAGTTTGCCTAATATATTTTCCATTTTCAGTACACAAACCAAGCTATTGAAAGTGCGGCCATAAGGTTAGAAAAAGAAAAGATGGGTAATATTTTTATGTTTTTTATATAATTAATAATTTGTGTGATGATCAGTAATACAGTAGACCTTTAATTTTAAATGGGCTAGATAAACCAATAGGTAGAGTAGCATAACTGTAGTTATTCTGATTAAATTAGTTAATAATAATTACCAAAAAAATTAAGAAAATTTTTTGGAGCTAATGTTTAAAACCTGTATTTATTGAAGGCACGAAAAAATATTTTTACAAAAAAAAACCGACTTCAAAAAGCACCTAAACTAAAAAGCAAAAAATAAATTTACTTTGTTCAAAGTAATACATATTTACATTTAGTTAAATAGAAAATAACATTTCATAAGTATTTTATAATCTTAAAGTCGGTGCCAAGTAAAACTATAGTAGTGTAATGATATTACCTATATACCTCTTGCTAGTTTGTTGATTAGTAGGTACCTATCAATATATTTTTCTAACTGTTGTTGTTTGGTACCTATGTAGTATTTACTTGGCACCGACTTCAAAATTATAAAATACTTATGAAATGTTATTTTCTATTTAACTAAATGTAAATATGTATTACTTTGAACAAAGTAAATTTATTTTTTGCTTTTTAGTTTAGGTGCTTTTTGAAGTCGGTTTTTTTTTGTAAAAATATTTTATTTCACCATTTTAAGTGATAGGCAGATAGCTATAATGCTTCTAGATAGAAAAGACGACCGCTACTTGAGATCGAAAATTACGGTAATGGTAGTCCGAGTTAGTTAGCTTTCAGTGCTGTAAATCGTTGAGGAATTCCCTCGAATGTCAATGACTTCCATCATCAGGTATATTGCAGACCTTCATTATACATATACCACATAGGTGCAAAGGTCTCATCAATATAAATGAATTAAGTCCAAACACGAGGTAGTTACTGTAAACCGTTCAGGAGTTCCCTGAGCTGTCCATCGTTCTCATCATCAGACCCTGAATGACAGTCACGACCAATCTTGGTGCAAAGTGCTCACCAATACGAATCATTCAAGCCCAAACACAAGGCAACTACTCCAAATAATCAAGGAGATCTCTCGACTGCCTTCCGGCTCCATCATCACAATTTACTGCATTACTTCGTTGTAATCCATAAAGGTGCAAAATTTTCATCGATATAAATGAATTAAGTCCAAACACGAGGTAGTTACTGTAAACCGTTCAGGAGTTCCCTGAGTTGTCCATCGTTCTCATCATCAGACCCTTAATGACAGTCACAACCAATCTTGGTGCAAAGTGCTCACCAATACGAATCATTCAAGCCCAAACACAAGGCAACTATTCCAAATAATCAAGGAGATCCCTCGACTGTCTGCCGGCACCATCATCAGGTCATCAGGTCGAGTTTGAACATCGACATGTTGTAGCGTTGTCAAAAGCCTACTAAAACCACGTGCAAAAACACCACTCGCCCCTACAATTTTTGAAAGTTCCTCTCGATTTCTCTGGTCTTCCATCATCAGATCCTGATTTCCTTATCATGGGACCATTCTGAGACTGTCTCCTTTCCAACAAAAAAAGAATTATCAAAATCGGTTCATAAATAACGGAGACATCGGCGAACAAACATAAAAAAAAAGCATAAATACGGTCGAATTGAGAACACTCCTCCTTTTTGGAAGTCGGTTAAAAATAATAAACACTTTTATTTCGAGAATCAAGTAAAACTATCTTTAATTAAAAATATCTCAAAATCGCTCTAATATCGCGCAAAGAAAAGGGACTGAGAATTGCATTACCTGGTCGCCCCAGACTGGTCCTGTACGTGCGTTTTTTGTAACGTGTCATGTGTCACTAACACTAAACACTGTTCTAACAAGTGGGTTAAAAGCCGACTAAAGGCCTACACATTGAAAAAGATCGAATAGCAGCTGCTCTACGTATCAAGTACAATTATGAACGGCCGGGAGCAAGAAACGGAACATGGTGATTTCTAGTCAGTAATATACTCATTAATAACTATCCCGGCTCAAAAAAAGCACTCTCTGATACCTAAACCCTTTAAATAAATTAATAAATAAACTTTATTGTACACCAAAAGAGTTGACATACATATACAAAAATTACAGTATTCATTAGTACTGGGTACAAAGGCGGCCTTTTCGCTAAAAGCGATCTCTACCAGGCACCCTTAGGTGGACGGAGTTGTAGTAGTAGGTGACAGTCCATGTGTAAGAATAGAATTAAAAAAAATTACATGCAATATATATTCATGCATACATACACACACACATACATAGGTACATCAAATATATAACTAAACTACGATCTTCAAATAGCAAACTCCACACCCCTCAAATACAGAGTAGCATGGGTTGTCACATTGCATATCTGCATACGTTGAAGAATAAATAATGTCTGAACATAAATGTTGTTACAGGTGCTTTTCTCAGCAGACTGCAAAATGACTTGGATGAGTGGATGAAAGATTACTTCAATGACTACTTGATATACATTGAGCTCGATGGTATAGAGCACATGCAAGAATTGGAGTGCGTATACTAAATATTTGAAAATGTTTTAAAACCTTTTTTTATGTGATACGTCGGTAAACGACTAGACGGATTACCTTTGCGGGGAAAGCGCACACGAGGCACCGCGACCTCGGCCCTGAGCAGAAGAAAGAATAGGGGGGGTTTTAGTCAGTAAGAGTCTGACACTCTCTCTCGCCTTACCCTGGGCGGGAGAAGTCATTGGATGATTTGCCCCTGACAAAAAAAAATAGGATTACCTGATGGTCAATCAGCGCCGCCTATGGACACCCGCAACAACAGAGGAGTTACGAGTGCGTTGCCGGCCTTTTGGGGTTAAGGGGTTTGGAGGTTCAGGGATTAGGGGACGGGAAGTATTGGGCGTCCGGTAACCTCACTAATACAGCAAAACACAACGCTGTAGTTGTTTCTCGATGGTTTTCTGCGAGACCGTGGTATCAATCAAAGATGGCTCTCCCACACTTAAATCTTCTCTTTTTGTTAATGGAATTTGTAAAAAATTGGGCGTATTGTTGATATGATTGCTATTTCCAGCCAGGGCGCAGGAGTAAGCCTGCTGATGTTGCGCATGTAACCTTAGCTAACTTGCAGGTGGCAAGTTAGCTGAGGTTAACCTGGCTTGAATAATGACGTACCGCTGCTCGACTCAGAGCAAGAAAAGGAACGGACTGGTTATATATTAATAACAGTCTGACACTCCCTCACGTCAATCAGTGTGGAGAAGGCCATTTTGATGATTTTACAGACGACTTTGATTGCCGTTCATGTTGGCTTGGCAATACGGAAAACGGGATGGTTATAATGTCAATTGTTTCAATAGATCAATCAAATGACTTCCACCGCTGACCATATTTCCCCCATGACTTCATGATTAGGGGCTTAATTGGAAGCGACCTACACCAATGTCGAAACCGCCTATGAAATATTTCACGAAACAATGAATTTATTTTTGTAAATAGGCCATAAAACAGCACTTTTACACGCCAAAACTATATGTTAAAAACTAGATGAAGCCGGAACTCCGCCCCTAAAACGACCCACTGACCGGAATTTCCTCTCTGACTACTCTGAAAAGAAATGCCGAAACAAACTCAGAGGATGTTCAAAATGATAATTGTTTTTTTAGAAAATACGACCAGGAGAAGACTATAGTGCTACAAGAATATACGGATGCATCTATAGCGCTGATAAACGCCAGAACACGGAAATTGAATGCAGACGTTATCAAGATACCAAACTTTACCCTGAAATCTATTCATGGGCTGGTAGGAATATCTTATTATGTGGCTAACGAGCAGACCGATTTCATGATGGTAAGCAATGCTGCGCAACCCAAAAAAACCGCAATACTTGGAGATAAAGGTAATTTTAGGGATTGGGGGAAGGAAAGAATTGGGCCTGTCCTATCCCATCCTGTTTTTATTCTTCAGTTAAATGGGCAGAAATCAACTGCTGAACTATAACTAACAAACACTTAAGCATCTGCAATCATTGCACTCGGAAATTAACGAATAGTGTGTGTTATTATATCGATAGCCAACTTAGTCAATTACACGACGATTATGGGTCCCTATCGTTACTGAGACTAGTCGAGCAATACCCTCGAAAGGGTACGCGATTAAAAAATATTACATAATTTATTTAAAAGCATTTTACTTTCATTTTATTAGCAAATATCATTGCACGATGGAGCTCTACACGGACTAAACTCCATGTTTCGGCGATCAGTACCCACGGGTTATAAAATGGATAAAGTTCGTAAAATCGATTCCATCGTCGCATTTAGTAATTTAAAGGTGCGTATTTAATTATTTATGTCTATGTTGTGATAACGCTGATGCTGTAATGGTCCTAGAATAGATACCTCTGAAGCATTATTACCTATACATACATATTGTTTAAATATCAGCGCTTTTATTACTTGGCAAAAAAAAATATTTACAATGATGCTCAAAAGAACAATTTTATATTATAGGTTTTTTTAATACCTACCAATATTTTTTTTTGTTTTTGTATTCGCAGATTTTTTTATTCAGTCGTCACTTATTACAATCGTCAATGTTCCACAATTGTGCCCAATTTTTTTTAAGGTGGTTTACAAATATGAAGCAATAATACCGACGGGGGTGCCGTCCCTGTCTGGTGAGCTTACTCTGACCGCGAATGAAGTAGCTGCCCGTCTTGGGCTGAGCGTGATCGAGGAGCCTGACACAGTCGACTTGGACATCCAATTCTTGAACCAAATGAAGTAATTACTATACTAGTATCTATACATCAGTAAAGACCTCCATTCAGACTTAAAACAATAAGTTTTCAGCTTCCTTAAATACAAAATAATTCCGTTGATATTCTATCAAAGAGGTTTGTGGATCTCATTGAAATAATATAAGGAATAAAGTTTCCTTTTTCCTTTTTTTCAGAGCTGAATCGCTAACGGTTGAGGGTCCAGCAAACACATTAATAGCCAACTTCAGGCATGTGCTTGAAAATGAGATTATAACACTCATGGCGTCGTCTCTGGTACATGGCGTAGAATCACTCAAAAGTCTACCTCATTGTGGTAAGAATAAATTGCATTGTTCTGTTCTATATATTTGATTGCTGTGTGAGTATCTGAACGTGAAACTTTCATTTGTTTTGATGACTTTGTAACATTTTGTTTTAGTACCATTATTCATACCAGGCCAAATAGCAACAAATTCACAAAATGCTGATGATAACCTGAGCACTGACAATAATCAATTAAGATTTAATAATGATGAAAACGAAGGTAACGGATTATTATTGGCTACCAAAAACAGAACAAGCAATGCAACGACACGGTCAAAGAAAAAAAAAGAAAATAAAAAGTATGCAGAAAAAATATCCAAAAAACTTCGAAACAAAAAGGATATCAGTCACAAGAAATACAAATAATTTTAATTTTGTATCAATGTGACATAAATATCTGTTTGAAATGTTTTTGTCGACTGGTTTTATTATTTATCATTGATTTGTCCCGAACGTGTTATGTGCGATTTTTTTTTAATCATCCCGATTATATGGCACAATGAAATAACCAATTCTGTGAGACCAGTGTGAGACCGTGGTATCTGTGGTGGTATCACTCGGTAAAGCTAGCCGATTCCCACCGTAGCATGGCTCTCCCACACTAAAATAGTAATATGATATTTACTGACGATTGGCACAGTAATTGTTTGGCTGGCTACTGTACAACGTGTCGTGTGCCTGATTCTTTAAGTAATCCTTAAATTGTTTGCTTTTGTGAAAAGACAGAGAAATAATTAAGCCTGCCTAGGTACTTACCTACATTTTAAGTAACTTAGGAAGAGTATAAAAGTTTAAGTAGGTAGGTATATTACGTAGCCGGACTATTGATAAAACTACCTTCATACGATTTTTAATAGATATGTTTGTGTGTAGGTATGCCAAATATTTCTTTTTAGCATTGTAGTTCCCGGTCATTTAGACAAACCAGTAAAGTAGGGTCAGTTTAGAAGCCCCATAACAACATAAAGGTAGTTCTTCTAAGAAGTCTGTGCATAACATGAACTATTTCGTTTCAACAACTGTAGTTAACAAGTTATGAACGTAAACTAACAGATATTTGAAATTTAAAATCAATTATCTGAGAACTCGAAAAAGGATAACCGACAAAATCAGGAAAATTATGTTTCATCAATTTAGATTCAAGTCAAGTCAAAAATATTTACGGTCGATGCCAGGCTAAGAGCTTTGATTATATATAACTTGTTTTATATGTACTAAACATATGATCGAAGATTACCATTATAAGTAAAATTTATTTAGTTAAACTAAAATTAAGGGAATACATTAATTCCAACTTGTTACTTTCCTGCAATAAATAGTGTTGAGAGACACTCAATATTTTAATACCTCATTATTTTACATTGATAATAATAATATTTAAAACGATTTACATTAATGAATCTATCAATGTGAAATAAAATAAATTTTTAGTCGATTATTTAATATGAAATCACTAGTCTTTTAAAATGTAACAACACAACAATTTCCTGTCAGCTGTCAATGTCACGTCGTCAGTCAGCTCAGCTGCAATATGTTTCGTTTTCGGTGATTCGGTGATAATTTATTTAATTTATAGTCAAAAAATTATATGAGCGTTTTACAGTGAAGCTGATGTATTTAGCAAAATGTCTGAAGAAGAAATTGTCGATATAGAGCAGGAATTAAGTGATCTCTTAATAAAAGTCCAGCCCAACTTGCAAGATGTTATCAAAAGGGTAAATAAACGTTATTATTGTGCAGGACTTTAATTTATTTTTACGATATTGATAACATTACGCTGTTCAAATGTTTACTTATAGAGTTTTACGAACGTGGCTCTACAGCAGACGAAGAATGGGGAACACATCAAACCAGACAGCCTGGGTGACACCTCGTATTTCGCAAAAAACACTCAAGTGTAAATACTTATTTTTAATTTAAACACAATATAAATTATACTAGTAATACAATCGCCTATAGGCACAAAATTAACCTGAGTGCATGTCTTAGTCATACAAAATTAAACTTTGTTTTTATTTTTACCAAACCAACCTTTTCAATAATACTTAATAACTTTATTAAATATTTCAGAAACCTCTTCCGTTTAGAACTTGTTAAAGTACCTACATTCCATATGCAGGCTCTGTCATTAGATTTGAAATCCATGAGTCTTACACTGCGATGTTCACTTGGAGAAGTCAATGTAAAAGGATTGTATAGTGCATTTAATGAAAACTTGTATAATCTCATACCTGTTATGGCTGAAGGACATGTTGTGTAAGTAAATCACATTATTAATATTTTAATAATCTATATTTTATATTTTTTATGATGAATGGACATCCATGCACACCAACAACATTAGAATCTACAATTTATAATGAGTACCTAGCTTCACTGAGAAAAAGACTAACAAACTATTATTCTATTTTAAAGAAGGTTATTGCCTCTCTGACAACCTCAATCACACAACAAGTGCCATTCTAAGACTTTACTGTGCGAGAATCACTATGGTCAATATGATAAAACTTTAAGTGTATATTTGCTTGTTAGCTGAAACATTCTAGCCTGTAGAACTACTTGTTTCAAATGTATACTTTAATAAAGTATTTGGTATTTGTATTTGAACAACTCTTTTAATATCATATAGTCCATTTATCCAGGAAAGTTAAGAGGTAAAAAACATCATGCTATGGACCAATAGCATAGTAGCCAGGTTTTCACACAACACATAAATAACATATAAATAAAAAGTAAATTCTTGCACCCATTTCATTGTAATGTAATAAATACAATTAACTTGATGAACAGAGAATGCATTCATATTTTATTTAGAATGAAATTGCAATGTTTATTGACTATCATTATTATATTGTTAATTGTTCAAGCAATCAATAAATATTATTTATTTTTAAAACAGTAAATGGATTTGTTTGTGTTACTCTATGCTATGCCTGCATTACAAACATTCTATTTGTGAATAAATACCATTTATTTTAGTAATAACAATATATTTTTAAGTTTGCTTCTTATTTAAAGTGGATAGAATATTATATTTATTCATAATAAGTACACAATCAATAAATTAGAATATAAAAAATAGCCATACCTGGCAGTTTCACTTGCATAGTTTTTAGGGGGTAGTGCGGCTTCCAGTTCAAGTTTTTTTATTGGTAAAGCTGTTTCAGAGACGCCTAAATTCAATTTTTAATTCAATTAGTTCTTCAATTAGTAAAGATATAAAATAAATTTCACAAGTACTGCTGCTTTTTCACTTGCTTGCAGAAATATTGGTTTTAGCATATATTTTATGTGATAACTGCCACAAAGGTGATCTAGCACAGGATTTGCCTTCAACAGCTTTCTGTTGGCAGTCAAAAGTGAATGACTTATCCTTATCATTTTTACCTATCTTATCTATAAAGGGCTGGTTTTTCAATGATTGAATAAAAGTTGTCTGAGGAATAATTATGATGTTGTCACGTCAGAATAACATTTATCTGACTATTGAAAAATTTGCCTTAAGTAATTTAAATGAATTAAATACTAACATTCTTAATAAAATGTTTAAAAATTTTATTGTTCAGGTCTGTCCATCATATTGGAATGGGTAGGTCTCCCATGACACTCATTTAATAACCCTAGCTATTATTATATTTAAATGTATTGACCTCATAAACTGTGTTATTCTAGAATATCATTATCAAACATGATCGCAGATGTGAGGGTCGGCTTAGTGCTAGAAGATGATGCCTTCTCATTCATCAATCCGGGCATAGAGTTCACACATGATGAAGTTTTGGTAAAGGTAATTATTATTATTCTCATACTAGCTTTTTTCCTGTAACCTCTTTTTTATGAGATAGGTCGGCAAACGAGCGTCCGATTACCTGATGGTAAGCAATCAGCGCCGCTCATTGACACCCGCAACACCAAAGCAGTTACGTTAATTGCGTTGCCGGTCTCTTGAGGAAAGGTGTCGGATATTTAAGGATTGGGAAGGGAGGGATTGGGCCTCCGGTAACCTCACACGGCGAAACACAACGCTGTGGTTGTTTCACGCATGTTTTAGCCAACCCATTCGTGCCGTGAGTCTCCCACAATTAAATTTACCTGTTTTAATTTGCCTACTCATTGCATGCAGCTATAGACGGATTATTAATAATTATAATTATAAACATTAAATACATTTAATTAAAATTAATATAATTAATGTGTATATTTTGGTATAGGTAATTGATTGTTATTTCATATTTCCTTCCTGTAATCCTACAAAAGTAAAACTCGAAGATTTGTAAGTTTTGATGGATGGATGTTTATTACTCTGTAACGTAAAAATTACTGAATGGATCTAAATACCTATAAATTGGCATAAAGATAAATTAGTCTGGAGTAGCAATACAAGGTGTGTGTCGTGATGGCCCGGAGGTCAAGGAGCCCGCTTCTCATGCATGAAGGTGTGGGTTCGAAACCTGGCAAGTACCAATGTGACCTTTCCCAGTTATATGCACTTTCTATGATTATTTAGACACCACTTGCATACGGTGAAGGTGAGCATCGTGAGGAAACATAATTTCTAATTATAAGTTTGAAATCGCCAACCCGCATTGAGCAAGCGTGGTGATTAATTTTCAAACCTTCTCCGTGTGAGAAGAGGCCTTTGCTCAACAGTGGGCACTTATGGGCTGATGATGATGATAATGAAGTCTTCCTCTTGAAGCCGAAGCTTTTTGGGCGAAAGAAGTCATTTGATGATTTTCCCCTAGCAAAAAAAAAACTGCCTATTATTTACCCTGGTACTAAGATCACAGCCGCTGGAATCTAGTATTTTAAAAATATTTATTTTAATTGGTTTCAGTTGTCATGGCCATCACCGCAACGGACTGGCGGATACGAATTCGCTACGACCGAGCAGCTAGCTAAGCATATAGGTAAGTGTTAAAGATAGAACAAGCAGGAAAAAAATATCTTCGTTCATAATGCAATTAGTTCTATGTCAAAAATGACAAGTTTACAGGAGACGGACTGAGGACTGAGGAGTACTGGAAAAACGTACTTCTTTTAAGGAACCAAATTCTTTTATCGAATGTTTAAAATGTAAATCATTTTTCGGTCGCGTTCCAAAATTAAAATTAAATCTAAATAATAATTAAAATGTTTTTTTTTACATTGAACAAGTTGCAAGTTGTGCGACGATATGTGTTTTTGTTTGTTTCTGACCTATTTGTAATCATTTTTTTTCGTCGTAAAATCTACAATAGTCTTTACTTTCACTTCCAAGTTTCTTTTATATTTCTTACTTTAACACAAAGCAATAAAGATGAAAGTCGATCACTTTCTAGCATGACAATAATAAATACATGTTGTTAGTTAGAATAAAATAAATAATAGAAAGCTGGCTGTCGTCACTGTCATATTATGTCAGTAGATATTTTGAATAGTTTCTATAACATTCTAGACTAGGACGTCATACAATAGGTACTGTAGTTAAAATTCATATATTAGCCGGTTTACCGCCATTCGTATGTAAATCGATTGTTATCGGCTTACACGCCTGATAACCATTCGACATAACAATTAAGTTTGTTGCCAAGATAACGAAAAAGTTTTGTAATACACGAATAGGCTCTTTCTGTAATCACCGTCACTTTGAATAACTTGCTTTCCGTCCAAGACCAAAGCAAGAATAATTATGGCAAACGATGGCCCAAACCAAAATCCATACTTCTTGCAAGAACGTGTATGTCTACGTTTGTTTGTTTGTTCGTCTTTCACGCCAAAAAAGAGCCAATGACTTATATTATAATAACATTTTGTATGTGGGAGAGCCATGCTTTGGTACGAATGGGCCGGCTCGACATGAGTGATACCACGGCCTCACACAAAACTGGCGTGAATCAACACTTATATTTGGTCGCGTGGGTAATGTTACCGGAATCCCAGTCCTCCTTTTCTTCATCTCCACCCCTCCCCCATCCGTAATCCTTAAACCTCCGTAATAATCTTCAAGGGGCCGGCAACGCACTTATAGTTACTCCTTAGGAATTACAATGTCCATAGGCGACGTCAATCGGGTAATCGGAATGACATAAAAAAATTAAAAATTTTGCTATCATGTCACACAATCAGTTGCGTAATAATGTAAACTAGTTAATATGATAAACCAGTTATTTTTATTCAAATAGATACTTAATCAGTCTTAAATTGAAATCGTGTTTTTTCCTAAATATACCCCTATTGGGGATATTTTTTATATTTTTATTTTTATAGTTTCGTAGTAATATCACCATGCCATGAAATTTTGCATCGGGTCTTTTAGGAATAGGAAAAATTTGGGTTTGATAATTAAGGGATGGGGGATTGTAGAAAGATTGGAGTTTGATCGTTGTTTCTCGATCTCGATCTTCCGTTTAGGCCGTGGTATCTAATCGAGCCGACCTATTCGTACCGAAGCAAGGCTCTCCCACATTTAAGCTGATGCTTTAATTTTATACATAACTATCTTACCTGGCAAACTTCGTACCGCCTCAAAAGTTTTTTGACCTTTTAAACCTTCTCTGGGCTTCCACGAAAATTCTAGACCAAAATTAGCCAAATCGATAAAGGCATTGTTGAGTTTTAACATTACAACGAAAAGTTTTTATTTAAATAGATAACAGAAGTATTAACGCGAAAAGTAATGAATTATATGTTGCAAACATGAAACACGAAAGTTTAAAAGTTATAATTTAATATTTTTCTAATACCTAACATAGATGTTATCACAGGATGTTATGGTCTTTGAAGTCTCAATTTGTTCGTATAGATGACCTGCCCCTAACTGCGGCCGTGTCTCTACCATTGTACGCGCTCCTGAGGGAGAAGCTACAGCTGCACCTAGCTCTGGTACTACGACAGGCTACCAGCGTTTCTGAGGTCATGTGCTCCAACCCTTCGCTGATGGAAGCTTACAGGTATTTCTTTTTTTTTAAATGCTACACTTGACCCCCTTGTCATATATCATTTGTGCATTTACAAACACATACTTACCTACATACATATCCAATTTATAATAAGTATCACACATCGTGTACAATAAAGAATATTCATTCATTCATACAAACAACTGTGGGTTATTCTGCCACTGCGATAACTTTGGCAATCTAAAATTTTACCTATACTATCCTTAGGGGGATTCTTTGAACATTTTTGAGCCGATCATTTTTCCCCAAGAGTTATCAGTTACATATTAATAAGTTTTGTCATCAACATTTTCATTTATTTACTTAGAAGTAGCAAAAGAAAAACATATTTTGTGTTTGAATCAGCACGATATGTAACATTGTTATTTTTTGTTTTATTGATATCTCTGAATAATCGCTCAAGTTCATTTAATTAAAGTCACAACGGATGCCTCTACCATATTAGATTTTTTCGATCCAAAAAATAGGCAATGTAGTCTGGTAGAATATCAAAGGTGTGTATTAATATACAATACAAGCGTCAAGTCAACATTCATTCAAACGCATGTCCATTAAAGTAAATAAATGTAATAAAAAATCTAAATTTTTGTCCTCCAGCGGTATGATCGACAGCCTAGCTCAGAACGGCAACAAGGTTGTAGACATGATCCTCATCAATATACGGCGCACGCTGCTGCAGAGCTGTCGAGAAGTACTGCAGCTACCACCGCTCCATGCAACCTTCATGCACAAGGTGAGATGATTACCACAGTCTATAAAATCACCATCATCAGCCACTTAACATTTTGAATTATTTTTATGAAACAAATTATTGTAAGTATTATATAATGTGTTCACTTGCGAAGGCGTACGAGGGGCCGAAGCCAAAACTCGCTGAGGCCCTTTGAACAACTTTAATATTAGTGAAATGGTACATCAGCCGGCAATTATCCCTGTATGCACTATAAAAGTGCACCCAATGACAATCCCCGGTTAGAACAGGACTATTAGATTATGGGTGTGGGTGGTTATGGACACGTAGACGATAACTATGGAAATACTATGGCCCCTGCCCCTGACCAATATTGATACATACGGATAAACAGTCAGGGGGTGTCTGGCCAGACTCAATTAATGGGCCCAAAACTTATAATGTAAGTATTAACTTTAGTATTAACAAGTTTTTATATTTTCCAGATAGGATCATTATCGTTTATCGGCAAGTTTGAGACGGACACGGGCTGGGTGAAGAACCTGGCGACCATCAACAGGATCAGTGACGTCAGCGTCACGCGACCGGACCCCATGAAGACCAGCTTCTACGTCACGTTAAGGATAAAAGATTTACAAGTAAGTCAACTATATTTTCATTCATAACACATAGGTACAAATGATTTCGATTTAGTTTCATCGATTTTTCGTGACTATACACTAGTATTTTATTAAAATTCTTCGTCGGGAGGAAGAGCGCCTTGCTTTTTAGGGAAAAAAGACTAGGGGCAGTGTGGGTTTTCACTCCACTAAAACTGCCGCGGTGGTCAAGACACGCACCTCACACAGGGAGACCGGGTCATCTCCATAGACCTACTCCAGAGTCCCTACAGTGCAGAGCCTATTACGCACATGCCTTTTTTGGGAGGGAAATTATTAAATGACTTCTTCCGCCCAGGTGAGGCTAAAAGGAGTGTCAGACTCTTACTGACTAAAAACGCCACGTTCTTTCTCCTGCTCTAGGCTGAAGCCGACGTGCCTTATTGCGCTTACTTCGCGACCCCGTCTGAATATCAGCTTTATAGGGCCCCGTCTGTGGTAGTCTATTGGCTTCTTTAAGCGCGCGGAACGCTGGTGTCTGGTTCTGGTCAGGCGACGCACATAGGGGTATTTGATCAATAAAGTCGATCAAAATTATTTATTGGCTATAATTTATTTATTGGCATTAAAATGTACTCAAAACGTTAAAAAAAACTATTTTGATATATTTTTAACAGGAATTTGAAAAATGTGTAAAAAAAATAATTTGTCACTATTTGTTTATTGCAATCTTTAACAATTTATACGTATTAATTAAAAACTTATAAACTAATAAATTATTAAATTAATTAAATCGCTTATAAGTTATAACTACTCTTCTTCATCTGAATCATGTTCACTATCTTCTGCATTCCCTTTATCCTTATCAACTTCGTAGGACATTAACGTTTCTCTAGTTTCTAGTTTAAAAAGTATTGATTTTTTAGACACTTTTCGTCTAATACTTGTCAAATATGGGTCTGAAGTTAATAATAATCCATTTAAGACATCCATATTACAGTCAGTTCTACTGAATTTTTTTGCATATTGTTCCCTGAATTTTCTAAAATGTTTATTACGAGCCTCTGCAGCTTCTTCAGATAAGGCCCTATTGGTAGTATGGCGTTCCTCATAACTGTAGGCCCATGTATTAAAATTTTGTGAAGTGTAGGAATCATTGGATACCATGTGTATAATTCTACATACATCTTCTCTATCGGGATTTTCAATATTATTATTTTTTTCGGTATTTCAAGAGTGTCTTGTCATCCAATCATGGTATTTTTTCAAAAATACACTTTCTGTTCGCTTTGCTGTCTGCCACTTAGACTTCATTTCAGACTTGAGACGAGAAAATGTTTGAATAAACTTTGATTTTTGATCAGTTGGGAATGAAGAGTCATTAATTATTTCAAACTCCAATAAATCCAACTTTTTTCCGAAATCTTGTTCAGTATCTCCCTCGATTTTTGGAAAACATAATTTCGCGTCACGACCTTTGTACCAGCAGAACCTACAACAAGAGAAATCTGAAATTAACTTAAGTGACCGCAAAATAAAGTTTGTTTTTGTAAATACCACATGCACTTAATTTTCAAAGTGTTTTCATTTTGGCACATGTTGGCAGCTATTTTCTTTTTAAATTTCTACTATGCATATCTAACAACAGGATGAAAAAAGAATTTGACCCGGGAAAAGTCCGGAAATACAACAAAAAGACTTTGAAATATTGGAAAAGGCTAAAATCAACTCATCATTTTAATGTACCCCATAAAAGATGGAGTAAATAATTGTTAAAGGTATATATTACAAAAAAAAACAGTAATATAAATTTTACATACCTTGTTCTGCACCGTCCATAACTAAAATATGATTTATTCCGAGTAATCTAACTGTCACGCTTATTTTTAACAATTAAGTTGACTCACTTTCACTGCGTATTAAGTTCGTGCGATGAAGCTTGCGTTAGAAAGACGACTAATTATGAACGGAATTTTAGCAAGAACAAAAGAGAGTCGAGCGGTTTATTGTCCCCCCGACCCTACCGTTTTGCCGGGTAGCAAAAACTACCTTCTATTAATACTTTGTAATATTCGACTTTTGATCGACTTTTTGTGTTAAATACTCCTATGTGCGACGTGCTGCCTTTACTCGCCGTCCGCAGACCCGCGCATACCGTGGCCGAAGATCGTCTCTCAATCCCCGATATAACAATGGTTTTTTATTCGATAGATTGGTTACGACGAATATCGCATCCGTGCGATGGGCGTATCGTGCTCGGGCCGCGCGGCCGCAGCGCTGCATCGTCACTCGCTGCACCTAGCGCTCACTATAGGGCTCGCGCACTGGGAGCCCTACGCACAGCTGGACCATCTTCGAGTACAGAACTTAGAGTAAGTAGCCACAATATTATTCATCCCCGTAAGAGTAAGTTTGAGTTGTTTGACCAGCATCCACATTGCATAGCTCCCCTATCTGTTAATGATGTTGATAAATTGTGGTCTGTGCCTACTTCCTGTATTAAAATTTACTTAATCTAGAATAAAAAAAAATATTAGACCTAAAACGCAACCTTGTGAAATCCCTAGTAATCTACCATTGTTACACGAGAGCGTGTGATTTTAATAACAAATGATCTAATTTCATTGTGGTACATGTTCCTTCCATTGCAATAAATCATGTTTTATTACAAACATGTTCCACTTTCCCCAGTTGTGCAGACTTACACGTAACTGGTCTCGGTCCGCTAAGTGGGGCTTCAAACCTCGTGTGCGCGTGGTTACGAGGCGCTTCGACTGCCCTCGCAGCTCCCGCGGTATCCGCGCAGATACAACATGAGTTACACACAGCGTTACAAGAACTACCTTTATGGGATCTCCTACATGCCAAACAATGACGTGACATGTTACAGTAAGCGTGTTGCTGCAACGTAAGACTGCGTAACGTGATGCAGGTAATATTTATATAGGAGTTATTCCGTGCCAAATGGATTATACAGTCGTACAGATGTAGTACGGATTTGTTTGATGTTTTTGAGATGATATTTTATTGCTTTTTTTGTATATGAGTGTAATTTGTTTAAACCTAATGAACAGAATGCTATACAAATTCAAATTGGTGTTATTTTTATATGTACATTTATCAAAAGGTGTTTACACTGTTTTTATTTTTCTACTTGACTATTAACTTGATAATTCTGTACTTCTTCATGTTTCTTCTCTTATTCTATCGAATTCTTACTAGTTTCAATTACATATTATAGCAATACCGATCCTTTGCAGCGTTCTTAGCGCGTTAGTTATTAAAACCGTCTGTTTAAATTTTAAGTCCTTGTCTCTTTCTGTTGTCTCTTTATATTTTTTATAGTTACTTTACACTGCCATCATTGTGTATAAAACATTTTTATTCTTAATATTTTTAATTAAACATCGGCACGTGTCCAGCTTTGTATTAATTTTGAAAATCGATTGAAAATAATCGAGATTGTTGTTGTAAATCGATATTATTTTTCATAAAAAGGTACCTATATTTTGTATTGTATTTTTGAGCTTGAACACGTCATTTTGGGCTTCCGGCTTTTTTTAAATTGCATAGAATTTATTAGCTATTTCTTTTTTATGACTTATTTTTTTTATTATTTATCCTAAGCATAGCAAAATAACAATCGTAAAAAAGTTTTTTTTTGTGACATTTTTATTTTCTGTACAGATACGTAAAATAGTATGACTGCAATCATTATTCTGTGTGTATAAATTACACCAAAAATATTATGTTCTAGATAAATAGATATGTAAATAAAACTTTAACGTGTCACTTTTTGAAAATAACTTTAATTTTAAATAAACTAATAAATAAAAAGTACTGGCTAAAGAAGTACATACATATTATTTTATATTGATTATATAATGGTAAGCGTAAAGATATTATTAAAGAGCAATAATAATTATTGTAATAAATTATTTGAAAAAAAAATATTATTATTTTGAAAATATATTGGTTGTGTTGTGAGTGCCTTTTATCTACTGAGACTGTTATAATTTGTATTTTTATTAAACAAGTTGTTAAATAAAATGTTTCATAATTATTATTTGCGTATTTTTTTTATCTAGCAACACCTATCTATACCACTTTCCTATATAAGAGAGAAGAAAAGAAACAAGACACACAACAAGAAATCCGGTAAGTATCAATGTGTTTATTTATGGGATAGCTCGGCAAGGGAATCCGTGTGGATTAACTGGTTTTTAGCAATATTAACCGTCAATGGAGACCAGCATTACCATAGGAGTTACGACTGTGCCTTTTAGGGATAGTTACGAGATTTCGGATATTTAAGAGGGAAGGGATTGGGTAATCTCTTATACGGCGAATCAACGCTGTGGTTGTTTTACGTCGATTTTCTGTGAAGCCGTGGTATCACTCCGGTCGAGGCGACCCATTCGTGCCGAAGCTTGGATCTCACTCTCTCTCCTTTGGTGTTGCGAATGTGTACCATAAAAAATGCGGGATAGACCGCAAGGAGCGTATTGTAACATTTTTATTTTTTTTATTTTGGGGATTATGGATTTTGAGATTTAGGGAATGGGCCTCCGGTAACCTCACTCACACGGTGAAACACAACGCTGTAGTTGTTTCACTGCGAGGTGAAACAACTACCTACAGCGTTGTTGAGCCTGAGTGGGGCAGTTGAGGTTTTCTGCGAGGCCGTGGCATTCGTGCCGAAGCATGGGTCTCTCACACTTGAACCTAATCGCGCAATGCTGCTCTTGATTATGAGCCCATGGTTTGTTTTGAATCTAGTAGGTAGACTGGTAGACCTATCTCGACAAATACGCGAGGGAAATATAATTAATTTATTAAGTCATTTTAATGTTCCGAAATAAGCGTAGATATATATGTATATGATTTTTTTATTGATAAAATGTTTAATAAGTTTTGAAGGATATAAATAATTCATCTTATATTATAGTACCTACTTTTCAATTAATTGGCCATAAAGAATATAAAAAGCGTTTTTATTTTATTCTATCAATTGACACTGACACTGACTTCAGTGCTGTTTTGCAAGATTTTTGGAGTAGTGTATTTTTTATACTTGTTGTTTTTTTTTTGTCGAATAATGCTATCAATAACGGCTTCAAGATAATTTGAACAAAATTAAATAGAAAGATACTTAAATCTTAAAGTGAAATTGCAAATAAAGCGATCTATGGAGTAACAGTTTTAATATATAATAAACACAATGGGTATAATACAATCCGTGATTTGTTCTGTCACATTTTGTATGGAAAGGTAAGAAACATATTTTATTTTAAGCCTTTAACTGCCGACAAGGTCTTTTGGAAATTACATACCCCCGCTAGTGTTGGTGACACAGCGTTTAGTGTGTCCACTCATACTCGATCATATCATAATGTTGTTTTAAAAAGTATCTAAGTAGGTATATGGTTTGAAACAAAGTCGCTTTCTCTGTCTCTATAAGTATACTTATGTACTTATGCTTAAATCTTTAAAACTACGCAATGGATTTTGATGCGATTTTTATTGATATACATACATATAGAGTGATTGAAGAGGAAGGTTTATTATTATGTATGAATAATAACATATGTACTATAGGTATACCTACTTCTAGGGACTTATAGGGAGAGAAGGTGTAGATATGTTTTATATATTTCTAATATCTCATCTAAATACCAGAGTTCTAACATGGACCTGCTGCGCTTTCCTCCTAATGCTGCTGATGTTCTGTATCGTAATGCTGATGGTGTACGGCATCTCAGTGGGCTATCACTACGCACAGAAAGAACTCGCTTCGTTTGCTAGTAAGTTCGTCCTATTAAGTATTATTATTTTGTAATATGAATAACCATTTCTATAATTTGAGCATATTATTACTGTAACCAAAAATTTACGCCCGTGGTGAAACATTTACCTAGTTAAAAAAAAAATAGGGATCCATCCAGTATTTCTTATTTTTAAAAACCTTTGAGAAATATCGCCATGGTTCGTTAAAGGCTCGAGTCAACTCTGCTGAAATCAAGAACGCTATCAGGAGTTGTGGAAGGCCAACATTCAGCTAATTTTGGTTACCACAATTAATATCTATTACCCTCTATAGCCAGGGATGCGGGTACAAACGCAATGATACACAACGATTTAGTTCGGAGCAGGAGAGAATCGTGTGGTTTTAGTTAGCAAGAGTCTTTCTTGTACCTACTCAATCTTGTCCCACTCATGACCAAAAAAGCCATCGAATGATTATCAATATTTTAATGATAAATTTGTCTCACAGTGTCGTCGAGACAGACGACGGAACCCGCCTTGTTGCGAGCCGGCCCAGAGAACAGGCCGGTAGTGCGTCTACTCGCTGTCAACAGGTCCGAGGAAGAAAACCCACCCCATCCAGTACTTGGTAAGCACTTTATTCACAAATGATTAAATTTATGTGAGATATCTAAATTATATAGGACTAGCGATCCGCCCCTGTTTCGCACGGATGAATGCTATGTACATTTCTGCACTATTTATTTTAATGATGGTAAGTATTATACATACATTATAAACCTTCCCCTTTAAGTTTCATTTAGCTAACTATTAAAAAAGCTCATCGAAATCAGTTGTGTAGTTTTAAGCACACATAGAGGTGTAAGGACCGAAAAAGTAGCCAGGTTTGCGAGGTAACCGCAGTTTCGGCCTAAAGCAGGAGAAGGAAAGGGGGGTCATAGTCAGCAACAGTCTGACACTCCCTCTCGCCTCACCTTGGACGGGAGAAGAAATTTGATGATTTTCTACTCACAAAAAAAAGGGATCGAGAAAGTGCCTTTGTTTTATACTATGTAGTGATTAAGCGAGCCCAAATTCTTGGACCTTATGAAAATAACTTGTTCATTGCAGAGGTTTACCAAACCAAGAAGCCTGGGGATCAACAAATTTTCATTGAGCAGTCGGAAACACCAATCGTGCTTCTAGAAACTGAAAGGTTTGACTTGCGACTGATTTTAATAGTTTTGCTTTTCATTGCTTGCTTGTGAAACTAGTGATGATAACTATGTATAAAAACTTAGAAATGTACATACGGCTAAGTCGGTTTTTTTATGTCATATGTCTGCAAACGAGCAGACGAATTACCTGATTGTAAGCAATCAGCGCCACCCATGGACACTTGGCCTCTTGTGGGTTATCCGGGATTTAAGGATAGGGCATTTGAGGATCGAGAAAGTGGGGGGAAGGTGATTTGGGCCCCCGGTAACCTCACTCATAAGGCGAAAATCTCACTCCTGCCGAGCCGTGCGGACCCATTTATGCCGAAGCATGGCTCTCTCACACTTAAAATAACGTACTGTATCTCAATATGGTTCAATAAGTTTCGAGAAACGATTAATTCATCCGATAGGCACTCAAGCATTTGATAAAATGAGGAAGTCGACGATGTGATCAGAACATTCACATACCAGTCTATTTCTTTGTCAGGCCTCCCAAAGAGCCGGAATTATCTCCTAACGAGCGGGAAATGGCGCGCAAGCTCATTGGCCGATTCCGTCGCTCCCGCAACAACACGACTCCTTTCCTCAAACCTCTGAAGCCCTTTAACAGCACATACCTAAAAACTACGCCACTGACAACGTGAAATACCAACATGGATCTCCTATTGAGAAACCATGTACGACCGACCTACTTATACGATATTTAATTTTGAAGGCGTACGTAAGCCTCTTTTATGATTATATTATTCATTTTATATTGTTATACATGTTTCATAATTTTATTTTTATTAATAATAATTTACTTTTTACATTATTGATGATGTATTGTCATTTATTTTATTTTATTTTCTGTTTTATATCGTATTTTTTATTTTTATAACTTTATGTACCGTAATTTATTAATCGTTTACCAAGGCTTTTGTAAATTAATAATAAAGTATTTTGTATAAAAAATGAATTTTATTTACGAATATTACGCTTACAGACGTTAGTAGGGTACAAAGTTGATAAAAGAGTCGGTATAATTTGTCGCATTATTTGATGAGAGCTGGATTGAAGGTGGGTTGCGGACTGTGAGGTTCTCAGAGCCTGTGTAGTTGTTGCTGACTGTAAGATTATTCTCCCCTAGAGGAGAATCAGCGTCGCGCCGCGAGTGACGGTGCGCGAACCCTCGCTGCACAGCTTTGTTTACAGAGCGCATCATGTTGCCATGGCGACGAGTGTCAGTGATCCCTGACCCCGATGCCGCCTTCGCAGCGTTCGCTGGAAACAATACAGATAACTTAGTAAAGAAAAGATGTCTGATTCACAAGTTTGCATGCACCAAACGCCAAGAAAATAATGTAAATAAAAAATACCAGTAAATAATTAATACCAAACGCCAAGGAAATAATGTTTAAGTGTTTAAGAGCCAGCACCTATGGGTCGGCTCTACCGGAGTGATACCACGGCCTCACAAAAAACCGGCGTGAAGCAACCACAGCGTTGTGTTTCGCCGTTTAAGTGAAATTATCTGACGCCGAACCTTAACGCAATCCCTAAATCCCTAAATCCTAATCCCCAAAAGGTCGGCAAGGCACTGATAACTGTTCCGTTATTGCGGGTGTCCATGGGCGGTGCTAATTGCTTATCATCAGGTAATCCGACGGCTAGTTCGCCGTCCTATCACATAAAAAAACATATAAAAAACTTAAATAGGGACAAGTACCTACTTGCTTAGCTATAGTTAAGTGTATTCATGTATGCATTACTTACACATGCTTTGCACTGAGGTTTGTACAAAACAGTAATGGTAGCCGATACCGATCCCCAATACCAACACGGTCAGTATAGTGAACAACAGGCAACACGTCAGCATAGCGCATACAGTGCATAGTGATATTCTGAAACCATAATTATTTATCTTAGCAAATAAACAAATACGTACTCTTGACTTCAGTGCCGGCGTTGGAGTCCTAACTCACTTTTACCCTATCTTTTATACATTTTAATGTTTAGTATTTTTGTAGCTTCTCTTCTTTCTTTTTTTTCTCAAATCTTACTACTTCCTCTTCGCTAGCTATAGGTAGCGCTAATAGAAAGACGAAATTCTTAATAAATAGTTATAAATTTTAGGATCAGCATAATCTAACACTTTTTTTGTGAGGGGAAATCATTAAAAGACTTCTCCGCCCAGGGCCGGGCGGGAGGGAGTGCCAGACTCTTACTGACTAAAAACCCCCCTGTTCCTTCTCCTGCTCTGGGCCGAGGTCGCGGTGCCTCATTGCGCTTGCCCCGCAACCCCGGCTGATCTAACACTTGATATTGCTTCCCTTAATCACTAAACTGGGCGCCACAAAATTTTTGCACGGAGTGTCAGTGACCGTAGGGGTCACTGAGCTAGCACTGCTTATACTAAACATTAAGTACTTACCTTTCGAGAGCATCTAACACGACCGAGATGAACGAGCTTAGAGAACAACACACACAACCCATTTTGTAGAGACGACATTGAATCACGAGAAATTTGTCGGCCGAAGCATATATTAATATTACAAAACGCTGTCACCTACATAACAATTTAGTCATCTACCTAAACACCCATTTAGAAAGGAAACTATTTGAATTGAAATATCTCCCTACTTTTGAAGGTATACCGACATGACAGAAGTATCTAAACGGTAGCTGAAGGATTCATGATACTTCGCCATAGAGTATAGTATATTGGGGTTTTGGCAATATGCCAAATATAACACGTTAATAATCCTTTTTGATACTGAATGATATTGAATTAATGCAAAAACAGCCTAATAGAAAATATAAATGAAACTATAAATGTAACAGCACTAGTAGGTATTGGGTTTTGCCATGCGAATGAGGCTCTATCGTGAATTCTGCCAATCCTCAAATTCCTAAACCCTGAAAGACCGGTAACACACTTACAGCTATCCTGGTGTTGCGGGTTTCAGCACCTGACCACCAGGTAATAAGAGGCTCTGTTTGACGCCCTACACCGTATAAAACTGAGATATAAAAGTTATCCCTGGAAGTTTGGATCTAATTGATTGATTTGACTTTTAGGTTCCAACTTCTCTGACATTGCAAGAACAATAATTTACCACAGCCGAACGAGGTAGTTTTTTGTGAATAAAAGTCTGACACTCTCTCGCCTTACACAAAGCCGATAAAGTTATTGTATGATTATCCCCACAACAAAAGGCGCGATCGTTCAAATCTCACCCCTCTTAACTGTCCATCCAATCATCATCTGCTTGTTTAGCGTCCTTTCACTTAAAAAAGAGAGCTATTTTTGTCTGCATCATCTGGTTCGTCTATGCCCGGTTCCTATATTTAACGAATCGTCGTTGTATGACATTACGACCAAATGACATTACGAATAGTTATCTTGACCGTCTACTGACGGTTAAAATATTTATAGGAACACCACAGACACCATAGATCTCCATACAATTCGCTTACCGATATCCGTTAGTTGCAAACCGTCAGTAAGTTGCACGACGAGACGTTTATTATAGGAACGGTTTTAGCTTACGAGTCGTATATAAAACTACTATTCGTAATTAAAACGGATCGTTTCTCAATTATAGGAACCGGGCGTTAGAGTGTTCTATGGACGGACAATCTTTAGAGATTTGATTGATGCGTGTGACATATAGCTATGACCTATGAAAGTCTGACTGAGTATATATAGATATACGCCCGGTTCCTATAATTGAGAAACGATCCGTTTTAATTACGAATAGTGGTTTTATATACGACTCGTAAGCTAAAACCAATATACGTCTCGTCGTGCAACTTACTGACGGTTTGCAACTAACGGATATCGGTAAGCGAATTGTATGGAGATCTATGGTGTCTGTGGTGTTCCTATAAATAATTTAACCGTCAGTAGACGGTCAAGATAACTATTCGTAATGTCATTTGGTCGTAATGCGTATACAACGACGATTCGTTAAATATAGGAACCGGGCATCTGTCAATAACCTGGTGATAAATAAATTGTTTTTTCGGCATATAATTTTTTGGTCTTCGATTTAATCGACCTTTTTACCAAAGAGCCTTTTTGATTTCTTTTATAAGTAAACCTTGATAATGTGACTTTACATTTGACATTGACGTATGTATAATTAAATGTACTCAACAGTTTTGTATGATTTTGTACCACTTGGTGCTATTTTGATAATATAGTAGGGAATACCTAATGCTATCAAGACTCAACTAGTAATAATTATGGAGAAGTAATATCTTTCCTGTATATTTAAAGAAAACATTTCAGTTTCTTGAGATATTTTATGTGCGTGGTAACTGGTAAGTATCCTACGATGAAATCTATATAAAAAAAATCAATGCCACTTTTTGTTATAACTCAACAATGCCTTTTCCGATTTGGCTAATTTTGCTTATAGTACACTTGTATGTGGCGATTTTAATATTAATTTATTGGAGAACAATATAAGTGGCATGGAGCTATTAAATTTGTTTCATTTAATTTAAAAATGTTTCTCTATAATTTTCTTTGTGAGGTTAACAGACGTTCGGTACCGTAAGACGTATCCAGTAGACTCAGAATAGATATGGAAACCGACTAGGATAACACCCTCCACAGCCAAATGTATTGATAACATTTTCAGTAACTGTAACTATTTAGAAAAAAAAAGTTATAAACAGTTTACCTTCTGACCACAGTGGTCTTGTGGTTACTTACAGCTCTTATTTGCCTCTTCAAAAATTCAAATAAAGTTTAGACATATAACAAATAAAAATTTAGAGAAACTCAATGATTCATTAGCATCTAAATTAAGTATAGAAAATTTTGATGCAAGTAATCCAAGCAGGTTATACGAAAAATTTTTACGGTGTTGAATAGGGAATTTCAAGATATTTTGCCAATGAAATAATAAAGACGTCTATGCTAAGTTTAAGTTTAACGATTGGGCTACCGCAGGTATTCGTAAGAGTAGAGATAAACTTTTTGAACTTTATGGCATGAAACCATACAATTGCGACGCTCTTTTTCATCAACATGAAAAAATTGTACGCAAAGACATTTAGAATAGGATGCAAAACCGCAAAGCGTTTTTTTATCAGTAATAAAATAAAATCAGCTGAAGATAAGATAAAGACTACGTGGAAAATAATACAGAATGAGACAGGTAGGAAAGAAATTAAAACATTCGGCATTTTGTCTAAACACAGAAAGGGGACAGATTTCGAGAGTTTTTGCTAATATACCTGTCAAAACAACGGCTCATTTAAAATCATCGGTCAGACTATCGGCAACTTTGCTTAGAGAAAATGTCAAATCATGCGGATGTGACTTTAGTTTTCATTATACTAATCCTTTAGAGATAATAAAGGTTTTTAAAGAAATAAGGTCAAATTAACTAAGGATCACTTATCTGAACTTTAGCGCCGTATCTGGTTTTGATTTTCAATAAAAGTATAGATGACGGTGTCTTTCCAAACCTAATGAAATACAGTAAGGTTATTCCATTATTCAAAAATGGTGACACTAAGGAACCAAACAACTATAGGCCTGTGTCTGTTCTGCCGGTTCTTAGCAAATTGTTCGAAAAGTTAATGCGATCTCGGATGCTTCATCACTTTGATAAACATGCCATCTTATATCACCAACAATACGGTTTTACTAAAGGTCGTTGTACAACTGACGCCGATGTCACATTGATAAAGGAAGTACTCGGTGCTTGGGAGGAAGCACAGGATGCTGTTGGTGTCTTTTGCGACCTCTAAAAGCGTTCAATTGCGTTGATCATGAAACACTCTTGCTGAAATTAGATCATTACGGGATTAGACATACTGCACTCCGTCTACTAAAATCATATTTAGAGGATAGGCAGCTGAGATTTCATGTAGGTGGTTATAACTCACAGGGCTCTGAGATAAGAATAGGCGTTCCACAGGGTTCAAGATTGGGTCCGTTTCTCTTTTTAGTGTGTGATAATGACATGCCATTTCTATTTAAAACTGAGCCAAGTATGGTGCTGTTTGCTGATGATACATCATTAATTTTTAAAATAGGTCGACATTCTAATAATTTTGACCAAGTAAACAGCTCCATTCATCAAGTTCATAATTGGTTAACAGTCAATAATTTAGCACTTAACGAGAAAAAACAAAATGTATTAAATTTAGCTTGCCCAACGTACACAGTAATGATTGTGGCATAATTATAAATGGGCAAAAGTTAGAATTTGTCAACGAGACAGTGTTTCTAGGTATCGCACTAGACAATAAACTGGGGTTATTGTCTAGTGGGCAACCCCAAAAAATGGGGTTCCCACATGAAGACGCTTTCGGGGAGACTAAGCTCGGCTGTTTTTGAAGTTAGACAGATAAAACAGCTCACAGACGTGAACACAGCAAGGCTTATCTATTTTAGCTATTTCCACAGCATTATGTCGTACGGAATTTTGCTGTGGGGTCGAGCTGCGGAAGTAGAATCAATATTTATTCTACAAAAGCGGGCTATCCGAGCTCTGAGAGAACTATTTAAAACGATAAATATCCTGACGGTGCCTTGTCAGTTTATATATGAAAATATTATGTACGTAAGGAAAAATTTGCAATTATTTGAAAAGAGAAGTGATAGACATTTAATACAAGAGCTGACTGTGCCACGATTCCGTCTGTCCAAAGTACAGAAGTCCTTTATGGGGTTCTGTGTAAATTATTACAATAAAATTCCAAGTAGTGTTTTAAATCTTAACGATCAAAAATTTAAAACTTATATTAAACGCGAATTGTGTAGACAGGCATACTTTCGTAGTACTTACATAGCTTTCAGATTATATTGAGGATAAGAAAGCCTGGCAGCGTGTTGATTCGGCTCCACTGGACAATACTCAAATAAAGTCAGCAGTTAGGTAAAATTCTCAAAAATAATGCATCCTTAATTTATAATATCCAAAAAGTTTATATAGAAGCACTCTTAAAGATTGTGAGTAAGCATACAGGGTGTAAAAAGACACTTAACGAAGCCGTTAACTACGCATATTGCAGTTCTAACTAAATAGCTTTACGCTAAAATTATCGCTGGGAAACGACTTTTATTTTTAAGTATAAAAAAAAATTAACAATATAAAGCAAACGGGCTTTGTGTCATTGTGTGCGTAGGTTCACAGCTTAGCATGAAAACGCTGTGATAAGTACGTAGGTCGTTTTACTTCGCAACAACTTTTTACACCCTGTATGTGAGCGCCATGTTCGAGACGACAAAGGATTAAAATTTTAATGATAGACATTTGTTCCTTTTTATTAACAACTTGTCTCTGCATTGTTCTCATAAGGGTACAATAATGTATACTATAAATGTTATATTATTGAAATTGTAATTTTTTTTTTTAATGAGTTACGAATGGAGTTTCTTGCTCGGTCTTCTTCATTCGAATCTACAATTTGGAATGAGCACCTCGCTTCACTGACGAACTGACTGACAGACTACTTCTCTGTTTTGACGTTTCAAAAGTACCTGTTTATGGTTTAGTTGGAGTAAAAGATTTTGACTTTGACTTTGGCTTTGGTCTTGATTTATTCGTGGAAGTTCACGGAAGGTCAGAAAACTTAAGTTAATTTTGAGGCGGAACGAAATTTGCCAGGTTTGTAAGTATCATATAAATTTGGATGTTTTCCACATTGTTGGCACCTAGATTAAGCATTCAAGATTATTAGGACTGATTTACAAAGACGCGGGATGTCGTACTGTTCATTTGCACTAGTAGGTACCTATACATAGTGCGGGCCAAATAAACAGGATGTCCCTAGAAGTATGGATAAAATCAAATACCTACAGAAAAAGTCATTACCAAACATTGATGAGAATATCTTTTAAATGATTGGCGGTAAAACCTCCTTTTCATCATACTTTTACCCAGTTAAATGTATTTTACAGTAATAAAACGCCTTATATATAAATTACTAACCTGTCGCCCGCGGCACTTGCCTTATTTGCTGTTTCCCAACAGCCTAATACCACTCTGGATCGGGTGCCCAAATCGACACTTACCCCCGGTTTCCGAAATGCGGATCAATGTTAAAATCAATTTAATCTCTTGTCAAGTCATCTGATTGGTTGACTGAATTATCAACAACCAATCAGATGACTTGACAAGAGATTTAACAGGAGATTAGTTAATTTTAGCGTTGACAAGCCTTTCAGAAACCGGGTGTTAGTAAACTTTCAAATCAAAATATTGACTAAGTCAGCGTCAGTAAACAAAGCCGCTGCACGATTCCTCCGTCATCCTCACCCTCCCCCCGTGTCTTTGTAAAAGAGATCTAACTTTTAATCGGAAATCACTGTGCAAGTGGAAATACAAGATTGGTTTTTATGATACAATACACGAAACCAAAAATCTATTTCACGCGAAAAAGTCGTGGACAAAAGCTGGTTATGTCATAGAAATAGTGTTGTCCTGCAGAATTTTGGTTTAAAAACTATCCTATGTCCTTTCTCGAGTTCTAACCTATGTCTGTACCAAATTTCACACAAATGGGTTCAGTAGTTTAGGCGTGAAGAAAAGACAGACAGAGGTACTTTCACATTTAAGTATAATATTAAGTTTGGATTTGGATTGTACATTACACCTAAATAAACCTACTTCCAACAGATATTTATCATCTATACAAGAAAAATGGGGATCGTACAATCCTTATTTTGTGCTATGACATTTTGTGTGGAAAGGTAAGTGGCTGTTTTTTTCTTTAACCTTTTTTATATGCTCTTCTCGATTTCAATTCTTATAATTTGATAGTATCAAAAATGATTGACGAATGATCTATGTTTAAGAAAATAATATTATAGTCGTCCTGGCAAGTACCAATGTGACATTTTTCACATATAATTTCTATGATTATTTATACACTACTGGCATAAAGTCGTGAAGAAACCTAGACTTATAATTTGTAATTGTAAGTTTAAAATCACCAAACTGCCTTGAGCAAGCGTGGTGATTGATGGAAGAGAGAGAGAGAAGAGGCCTTTTTCAGCAGTGCACATGTACGTAATTATCTCGCGCCCTGCTGAACGGATTTTGATTAGGCTAGCCTATGTTTACAACTGGAAAATAGGCACGTCACTTATTGATCTCAAACTTCCCGCCAAAAATTCACTCATTAAAAATAATTGCGACTTTTTGTCGGTTCGGTAGTTTCGCAAATGAACGCCGTCAACGTCACAAACTGACAAACGTTTATTTGTTTTTTCTATGTAATATTGATGGTTAAGTCTTTACTAATAAGTTCCGTATTAATCACCAGAATCCTGACCTGGATTTGCTGCGCTTTCGTCCTGATAGTGCTTATGTTCGCCATACTAATGCTGATGGTGTACGGCATATCAGTGGGCTATCACTACGCACAGAAAGAATTAACTGATTTCGCTTGTAAGTACCTACGAACCCTAATCTGATTCTGACAACGTGGCTTAATTTGGAGACCAGCTTAGTCACTTAGATATTAGCTGGCGAAAAGTTGACCTTCTAGAGAAAAGGCTTCATGTTATAACATACTTAGATACTGTATTACTAATCGCTTTCAACATAAAGATTTGTAATATACTTTTCATTGTCTTACAGACGTCGCAAGAGCCGGACCGGATGAAATGTCCAACTTGCCTGCCAGATCTGGGAATATGCCTGAAGAAGAAGGTGGTCAGGCAAACGAACCACGCCCATTAATTGGTAAGAGATTTACGTGGTTATACCACGATGGGTGTAGTGATGCATCTGTGATATACTTATAAATGAGTGTTCTTCGAAATTGCAGAACCTTACCAGACAGAAAAGCCTGAACAGCATTCTTACAAGCGGTTACAAGGAACGCCAATCGTCCTTCTTGCGACTGAGAGGTTTGAATCAGTAACAACTGCTTATTCTTGGGTGACATTGACATGACTGTTAATATTTAAATGAGATAAATATCTGGTCCTCAGGTCTCAAAAAGGGCATGACGCACTATCTCGTGAGAGTGTATTGGCGCGCAAAGTCATAGGTCGTTTCCGTCGCTCCCGCAACAATATACCGCCGCAGTCATCGCCTTTTCCTAAGTCAATGAAGCAACCAAACAGCATCAGCAGATCACGTGGTAAAACAATAGCATTTGAATGAAATTCCCAAATCTTCTACTGCGACATTTGCATAAGGATATGAGGATACTTAACTAGGGTACGAATACGAAAATGCCTATGTAGGTACCTAATATTAGGTAGGTGTAAACATACCTACTCATAAGTATCCATTCATAACTTAAGGTTTACAAATTGTGTAGTTAGCCTTTGATTATTAATACTTATTATTTTTTAGATTTTATGTTTAGTTGTTTTATAGAGTAATATATGTTTATTTTTTTAAAGTTGTAAGATTAATAAATTATTTAACATTAAACCTATTTTATTAACCGACTTAAAACCCTCGTTATAGTGCTGTGTTTACAGAGCGCATCAAGTTATCTTGACTACGACTTGCTTCAGTGTTCCTTTACCAGCCTACCATAATAGCCTATAGATAGCACTCAGGAATGTTGCAGCTATCTGTCAGTGAACGAATTTTGGAAATCCGACCGGCGGCGTTTCAAAAAATTACCTCCTACATACAAACTTACAAATTTTACCTATTTATAATAATCCTATTACCTATCAGGCTAGACACCAGAGGAATCCACTGTATCTATACGTTCTCTATCTCAATATTGCAAGAAGGCAATAAGAATACTAGGTTATAACTATTTTTAACCGACTTCCAAAAAGGAGGGAGGGGATGTTCTGAATTCGACCGTATAAAATATACGCTTAATTATGTTTGTTCGCCGATACCCCTTATTTATAAACCGATTCTGATAATTCTTTTTTTTTTTTTTTGATAGGAGATAGAATGGTCCTATAATATGGATAAGGAAATCAGGTTCTGATGCTGGAAGACCGGAGAAATCGATGCTTTTTATATGACGAAGGTCGAACTCGACCTACTTTTGGAGCCGAAAGACAGTCGCGGCTTCGCCCGCTTGATGTGTTGATAAAAAGCAGCCAGAACAAAATCGAAGTATATATAAAATTTGTTGTGTTATAAATCGTCTAATTTTTATGGGTAGGGGAGAGTCGGGTAGCCCCGGCCACTGACTATCCTAGGCAAGCAGGCATACTTAGACAATAAGTGTAAGGCACAGGCGACGGTAACTTAAAGAAGGGAGTAACTTCTTCCGTTTTACCAACATTTCCCTTCACTGCTCTGCTCCTATTATTTGTAGCGTGATGATAAATATTCTATAACCTGCCCAAGAGTATCTATAAAGAATAATTATACCAAGTTTTGTTTCTAGTAGTTTTTTCATTTATAAGGAACATACAGATAGACAGACAGACAAAAATTTTACTGTTTGCATTTTTGGCATCAGTATCGATCACTTACCTATCACCCCCTGGTAGTTATTTTGAAAATATATTTAATGTACAGAATTGACCTCTCTACAGAGTTATTATAAGTATATAGATGGAGATCTGCAGTATACCTGATGATGGAGACCATTGACAGTCGAAGGAATTCGTTAATGATTTACAGCACTGAACTTTAATTTGGAATACCATTACCGTGACTTTCGGTCTTAAGTAGCCGTCGTATTCTCACTCGAGAAGCATCCTTGCTTGCTCTGCCTATCACCTAAAATGGTGAAACAAAAAAAAAACATATTTCATTTACTTAAGTAGAAAATAATATTTAATAACTATTTTATAATCTTGAAGTCGGTGCCAATAAAGCATTTTGGTCTCTGGCCAAAACGGTCGAATCGAACTTCTGTCGTCCCTCACTTCCGCTACTGCTGGGCATAACAAGCTGACCTGCACCGCAATTCAGAAAGCAAAAATGTTTGCTTCTCCATTTGGTGTGGAAGTGTCGCGAAAGGTTGGAAGCTGGCACATGCACGTGTGCTCGACCTATTCGTCGTGCCGGCCGAATCTAACAACTATGGAGCTATATTTCGGTCACATCAATATTTTGCAAAAAATGAAGCATGTACTGAATAAAAGATTCCTCGCGTACCTGGAAGGTAACGATCTCCTCAATAACCGGCGATACAGATTTCATTGATCTAATGGGGGCCTTCTTACGTATGCCACATACATATAGGGCGAGATCTAAACGGAGAAGCATTATCAGTCTCGCCCGATATTTCTAAGGCCTAACGGGGTCAGGCACGTTAGCCTTATGGACAAGGTTCCTGCGTATTGACTTCTTGATGGTCTGTACATATGGTTAGGAGACTTCCTGAGAGATCGGTCGAAGTCGAGTAGTCATTGGTGGCTGCGCTGCGCGTCTGATCAATTTAGTATTAAAGCCGGATTTCCTCAGAGGTCTGTACTTTTAGCAACTCTCTTTTTGTAGCACATAAGCGATCCTCTTAAGCCTGTAATTCTGGGTATGCAGATGACACTACATCTCCAATGCGGACAAGGAGAGCTTAGACCTGTAATCTAAGAGAAACTATGGCTGGACGCTTGAACTCGTCCTCGAAGGCGGTCACCTGTTGGGGTGACGCCAACGCTAGCTAAAACTAGGTATTTCGGTTCTCCGACAAATAGAGTCAATTTTCTCTGGCTGTTTCTGTTATGTATCCACTGCGGTGACTAACCATCTTGATCTTCGTGGCGTAATTCTGACGCAAACTCTTATGTTGCCTTAAACAATGACTATAAGGCGCAACTGACGTAGGTAAGTAGGTAGTAGGAAATTGATCCTTGTCGAGGGTCCGACGATACTTCACACTGGAACTGCTAAATAAAATATATACCAATTTCGATGACTCGGCTAAATACCAAATAGATGCACTAGAACTCGTTGCGAAACCAGACACGATTGTCTGGTGGTAAAATGGTGGCAACGGCGTAAATTGGTAAATTAAAATATGGGTAAATTTTGCCGATGCAAAACGGCACCGCTTCAAGATATAAATCCCACCCACACGCACAAAGCAAGTCTCCAGCTAGTACATAAGAACTGCTAAAGAATGTAATTATTTGCCAGAGTCTATGTCCCCAATTGGTATAATGTACGGTCTTCAAGTTCCGAGTGAATAAATTGTCTAGACGAGATAGAAGCCAAACATCATCATCATCTTCCTGCCCTTGTCCCGTTTTATTTGGGGTCGGCGCAATATGTTTTTATCTTCCATTCTGTCCTGTCATCCGTCACGCTATCACTAACTCCTCTGTCTTCCATATCACTTCTCGCACAATCCATCCATATTTTCTTTGGTCTCCCTCTCCCTCTCCATCCATTCGCATTTATACTAATGGCTTTTTTGTAACATGTTTTTTATTCCTCCTTTTCACATGGCCATACCAAGACAAACGGTTCCCTTTCAACTTTTCAGTCACTGGCGCCAATTTGAAACTTCCTCTAATATAATCATTTCTCACTTTATCCATTCTCGTCACACCACACATCCAACGAAATAGAAACCAATCATTGCAAAAATAATTAAAGGGTCCCAATGTCGGAAAATATAGGTTGGTAAGAAATTAGAAACTTTTAAATCTGCGGTCAACCTGGCCATAATACAAATACTTTGGTCTTTGGTCTCGAATACACTTTTCTACTGTTTGACTTACTTTTGACACCGAAGAATGAATAAATGTTGAGTAGGTACATTTTTATATGATTTTGTACCTCTTGGTGCTATTTTTGATAATTTAGTAGGGAATACCTAATGTTATCAACTCTCAACTAATAATCATTATAGAAAATGAATATACCAATCTGAAGATTTAAAAAAGTTGAAACGATACATTTCAATTTTTTGGCAATAGTTAGACGCGTGCTTGTGGTAAGTAAGTACCTACCTACCTGTATAAGTATGTATTAATAAAGTTGCGAGTACTCAGCTTACTAAGAATGTAACGTCAGGGTCGGTGTGAAAAATGATTTGCTCACAATTTGTCCGCGGAACGACTTCCCGCCAGGTGGACCGACGATGTCGCGTCGCGATTAGCGTCGCGTGAGGACTAAGAGGGAGTCTTTGTTCACCAGTAATTGTCCTCCAGTTGACGATGACGATTTAAGCATTAGCTTTGTGTACCAAATAAAACTATCAATATACTTTTATAGAATGTGCGATATTTAAATAATAATAAAATTAATCAAAACATATTTATACAGATCCAATTTATTCATCTATACAAGAAAAATGGGGATCGTACAATCCGTCTTTTGTACTTTGACATTTTGTATGGAAAGGTAAGCACTTTATTAACCTTAGTCATCCCAAATTCAGTACAAATAGGTACACATAAAAAGGAATTTCCAACTCCCTTTACGAAAAGTTATCGTTAAGGTATAAGGTATGATGCCGAAGTCGGCAAAAAACAGAAGTGATGTTGCCGCAAAGATTTCACGACGACCGTAAAGGATCGAGCAAGGAAGCAATGCAGTAGCAGAGCTGTTGCGCGTCAATATTGGCGTACATAGCCCAGCTCTTCTTTATTTTCTAAATTCTTAATTAACTAGGAGCCTGGAGGTAAATGCGTCCGCTTCTCATGCATGAAGGCACGGTTGTGAAACCTGGCAAGTAGGTGACCAATGTGACTTTTCCAAGTTATATGTGAAGGAAATATCCTGAGGGAACCAACCTGGACTTATAAATTTGATATCGCCAATCCGACTTGATTCGTGACGTGGTGATTAATATTCAGACCTTCTCCTTGTGAAAAGAGGCCTTTGCTTAGCAGTGGGCACTTATAGGCTAATGATAATGATGATGATGATGATGAATGAACTAGGCAAAGGTCAACATTGCCACTTAGCTCGACATCAACGCGGCAGGCAGCAACACTGCTGATTGTTGCAGAGCTCAGGATCATACCGTAAACAGCTATAACGTATAACTCGTTACATCATTATTATTCATCTGAAATTATTTTTAACATACCAAAAACCATCCTCTTCCTTTAATAGTTATTGTCAAGAATATGTATTATAGAAGATAATTTCCTTTGTTATCACCAGAATCCTGTCATGGGCCTGCTGCGGTCTCTTGCTAATAGCGCTAATATTCGCCATTCTTATGCTGATGGTGTACGGCATCTCAGTGGGCTATCACTACGCACAGAAAGAATTAACTGATTTCGCTTGTAAGTACTTAAGAACCCTATTAGACTAGTAATAGCGAAGGACGAACCGATAAATATTTTGCGAAACTAGCCCAGTTAGTTTTATATTAGCTGGTGAAAATTAGGTCTATTGTATAAATTTATCCCTCATACATACCTCTTCTGAAGAAAAGGTTTAATTTAATATTTGGTCTTTACCTATGAGATTGCAGTTTTTCAGGAAAAAAATGAAGCGTTTTTTGTAACCTTTCAACTGTAATAATTTGAAACAATAGGTGAGGGAACGTTCGAACGCCTGCTCTGCGGTTCGCTTGGGGTTTGATGAATTATTATTAATCAAAGTAATCGCAAATGCGATTAAAGCATGTTTGCCAATGTATTTGGTCACTAACTGATCCCCGCTATCGGGTCGCTTACTGATCGGCCGCTCCCGGTCAACAAATTATTTAAGGCCAATTTTGCCTCTCGGGCATTGTATTGTTTTCCCGTCAAGAACTTATTCAAATTCTGGAAAATGCAAGAAGTCTCTAGTTGCAAGGTCTGGTGAGTAAAGTGAATGACAGAAAACGTCTAAACCAGATCTTGTTGGAGACCGTCTTCTGTGCCGTTTGTGATGTGTGTGTTATACATATATCATTGTCTTACAGACAGCGCAAGAGCCGGACCAGATGAAATGTCCAATTTGCCTGCCAGATCTGGGAATATGCCTGACGAAGCAGGTGTTCAGGAAAATGAACCACGCCCAATACTTGGTAAGAAAGTTATCTGGTTACGCAATGATGGGTCCAGTGATGCATCCGTGTATACTTACTTATGAGTGTTCTTCGAAATTACAGAACCTTACCAGACACAAAAGCCTGAACAGCAGGCTTACAGGCCATTACAAGACACGCCAATCGTCCTTCTGGCGACTGACAGGTTTTTTAACATTTTAGTTACAACTGCCTATTCTTAAGTGACATTTCATATCTGTTAATACTGAATTCTAGATAAATTACTTACAAATTTTGAAATGAGATAAATATCTGCTCCTCAGGTCACCGAAAGGCGACGACCCACAATCTTATGAGCGTGCATTGGCGCGCAAACTCATAGGCCGCTTCCGTCGCTCCCCCAGTAGCATACAGACTCCATCACCGCTTTTTCATAAGACAATAAACCAAACAAGAAGCATTAGCAGATCACGTGGTAGAACATTGGCATTTAAATGAAATGCCTAAATATTCTATTTTGACATTTGCATAAGGATATGAGGATACTTAACTAGGTTACAAGTACAAAAACGCCTAATAAATATTAGCTAAGTATCCACATATCTATTCATAAGTATCCATAATTTATAAGTTACAAACTATACATTTAGGTACGTCCTCGATTACTAATATTATTTTTTATATTTTATGTATACCTAGTTATTTTTAAAGTAACATATTTTTATTTTATAATGTTGTATTAATACATTTTTAAATTTACCCTTTTATTTTATAAAGTTGTACTTATTAATTAATTGTTTAATGTACTTTTATTTTATAAATTTGTATTAATTAATTGTTACACTTTTATTTTATAGTGTTATATTATTAAATTGTTTATTTTATAATGTTGTATTAATAAATATTTTGATGTAAAACTTCATTTTATTTACAAAAATAAGAGCGAAATTAATCTACGTGTCACTTCGCGACGTAAATGATTAGTGCCGCCCATGGCAACACAAGCTCATTGCCGGCCTTTTAAGGAGTACGATCTTTTCTTAAAGGTTTGGATACGAATAAAGCTTCAAATAATTAACAAACTGATGACCCTATTTTATAGGAGCGGTAAAACCCCTCTTTGAAGCATGACTACAGAGGCAGGAGGAAACGCCCGGGAGACGTCATTCTGAGGACCACCCGGACGACACGGTGAAGCATACGGTAGCAGTGTGCGCTACTTGGGATGAGCACCGCCGTGTCCTCAGGAAAGTGAGAGGCCTGGGCGGGAGAATGATGATTTCCCCTGAAAAAAAAAAACAAACCAAAACTTTCTCAGAACACTACCCTTGATAGATAGATCATAGTGAGGCTACATCTCTACGCTGTGCCAAAGCGTCCGGCCAGTCTGAGCCCAACCATTGGAACAGCTCGTCGCTGAAGGCGGTCCAGAGGGAAAACCTCTGGTACTGGGTTGCCCCCGCGCAAAGTAGAGCACTGTGTGCCATATGGTGCCGAACTTGCACCTTTTCCTGTCAGACTCTTACTGACTAAAAACCAACGCGGTGTTCCTTATTTACCCATATGTCGGCGGGGCCGGTATCGCCGAAAAACCGGGCCGCCAGTTGGTTAGAACCACGAGTAGAACGACCCCGTCACCCTGTTGGCAGGACTGCACTATAAGTCAGTCCTAATGAACACGGCGGGCGCCTCTGCCTCAAGGTCGTGGATGATCGGACGACAATTTTTTGTTTGTCGTCCACCCTTTTTTTTTTTGAGGGGAAAATCAAGTGACTTCTCTCGCCCAGGGCCGGGCGGGAGACTGATGTCTAGTGCGTATGACTTCGGTGGCCACCCTATGACGTCTAGTGCGTCTGCTGGATGGAAGAGAGGAGGCAACTCTCCTTTTCCGCCGCCTCCTTTGCGATCATCACGGCATCACAAAAGGTAGCGACGGCACTCCACCCTGCTCCCGACCATGATAGACAATACATCCGGAAGCGAGAGAATTCTCGCAGCACCTACGGCCGCGAGCAAGGCACTCCGCCAACATATGCAGCGCCGCGTCGTATCGTCGCGATGACAGCGAGCACACCTAGCTTCTTCGAAACTAACTTAGCCTTACCATCTAGGTGACCGCGGAACTAAACGTCGCTCCATATGTCGACATCAAGTATTCTCATACCAGCCGAGGCTGTCAGGGAGGTACTCTGAAACTGAGGAGATACGACCAACGGCCAAAGGTAGTTTTTAGCCGTGAATACACAGACCTTAATATAGATGAGGAACAGCGTGGCCAATAGCACGCAGCCCCAAGCATTCAGAGCATTCACCGTTAAACACGATCTTTATGATTCTATCTACAAGGAATCTGACCCATTAGACCCATTTAGTTCAGTTTCTCGTGAAGTCCATACGGTGCAAGCTTCGAAACAACTTTCGCTACGTCCAAACTGACCGCCATCTCTTCCCTCTTGAACTCTTTGCCTGTGTTTTGTGCCCGACAGTATGTCAGGTAAACTAGAAGATCACAAGAAAACCGACCCCTACGGAAACCCTTCTGTCTGTCACTAAGAAGCTGATGATTCAAGTACCAAAGGCGCTGACAGTTAGTGATTGACTCCATTAGTTTTGAGAAGAGTGAAGTTATGGCTATCGGTCTGTAGTTAGATGAATATGTACGATCACCTTTTTAGGGATCGAGAGGACTGAAGCTGACTGGGACTGTGCCGAAAAAGGCGTGTTAAGACAGGTGCTAACTCTGGAGCGCACATCTTCAACGCAATGGGCGGAACACATTTGATTTAAAAATGTCAAGGAAAATGAGCGCCAAACGAACCGAGAGCATAATGTGGTTTGGCATAATTATATTTTTGCATAATTTAATTACACACAACAGCTCATCCATATTTTTTAAGCATAATGTCTCTATCCATAATAATGATTAGGCATAAACTTATTAAGCTGACTTTTTTAAGAATAAAGTTCTAAAACATAATATCCTAAAGCATAAATTACGCATAACAAATTACGACATATCAGACATTTATAGACCTACTCTGTTCTACCTACCCTACTCTTCCTACCCTACTCTCCCTACCCTACACTACCTACTCTATCCTATTCTATGTCCTTCTTCCAGTTCTTAGCTACCTTCCTACGAATTTTCTGCCAAATCGGTTCAGCCGTTCTTTAGTTATAAATAGTGTTACTAACACGACTTTTTTTATATAATTAATATAGATTATAGCTTGGCGCCTGCTATAGCTCTTTTGAAGGACCTAGAGGCAAAGTTATACTCCTTTTTACTGCGCTGGTATTTACATCCCGTGCTGGACCTCCATTCCGGTAACCTTACTCACTTGGCGAAACATAATGGAAGCATGAACAAAATTAAATTATCTATGGTCTAAGATCCGCATGACGTGAGCATACTGAAATTATCTGTCAAAATTTGTTAAACGTCAAAGGAACTGACATTGTGACATTTTGTTCTGCAATTTGTACTTGTAATGTCAACTTGAAGTTTCAAGTTGTGATTGTAAATTATGGCAGATGCAAACACTCCACAAAAGAAGGAAGATACAAAGAAAAGACCTAAACGACAGCCAAACAAAAACTATGCTTTAAAAAAACGAGTACCATTGAAACCTGTGGACGGTGATAATGTAATATACATCACGAAGAAGACTAATTTCAAGGTAATGGCCACTTTATAATACCACGTAGATGAAACATCTAAATGCCTTTAAGTTTTAATTAATGTTTGTTTTAGGCACAGCTCGATAAGTGCTGTGATCTCTTAACCAGAGGAGAAAAAGAAATAATTCTTCATGGTTTAGGAGCTGCCATACAGAGGTGCTGCAACCTGGCACTTCAACTAGAGATATTGTTTTCGGGCACATGTCAGATTGAAGTAAACACCGGAACTGTGGACTGTGTTGGTGTGTACAATGTTTAATACGTACCTACTATAATTATTTTTAACACTACAGTTATTAACTTAGCTTGGCTTACAGCTATGTGGAAAATTAACTACAAAATTATACTTACAAGTATTGTGCAATGTTTGATATTTTTTTACATACTGTGCAATATGTAATTTGTGTAAACATATTTCTACAGATGACCTGGAGCCACTGACTGATGAGCTAGACTTCAATTCACAAGTGAGGTGTTCATCTTCAATCCATATAAGGATATTCAGAACAGCAATGCTCGGTGCGAACCAGTAAAGATGTTCTTCACACTGAATGAAATAGTGCAGTGGATTGGACTAACAGTGTTTGAAATATGGATTAATCTAATAACTATAACAATATTCTCTGTGTTGTTAGCTTTGAAAATAGATGGAGTGGTGTACAGTGCTTGGTGGACAGTCTTTGCTCCACTATTTGTAAGTGATGCTATGAATGCATATTTTTGTTGTATAGTATGTATAAGAATGAATTTAGAAAGTTCATACAAAGCCTCCCTATATAGAGCTTCTTGGAGTGCTATATTTCTAGGTCTGACATTTGTATTTAAATTCTTATTATGCAGAAAATTACAAGGTGATTCTGCAATAGAATATAGTGAGGTTTTTGCACCTCTATTTATACTTCTGCAATTAATAGCTGTAAGAGCCTGTCAGTTACACCAATAACACTGTGTTTTCTTGTTTACAATAAAAACATGACTCTATAGCAAAAGAAATTTATTGAAACAAAACCAAAAATACTCAATTGAATAAACTAAACAAGCCTCCTCTATTTTTCTTCTCTCCACCAAAATTGAAGCTAAAATTATCATCATTATTTGGGGCACTTGAATCTGCCTTAGGTTCTGAAGAGCCTCCTCCTCCAAAAAACGACAAGCCTGCCTTTCGAAATCCTTTAAAAAGAAATATTTTTGACATGGAAAATGGAATAAGCAACTAATCACTTTGATTAAACTTATAAAAAAACTACCTGAGAGAAAATTAGGGACTTCCTGTGATTGGACATCATTATCACCGCTTAAAGGTACATCAGCTTTAGGGGATAGAAGAAGACTTGAATCTGAAAATTAATACTTTATTATAATAATGAATATTCTTTTAACCTTTCAATTATGCTAATAAGAGACACAATAGGTGTGCAAACTCTGTTGTTCGCTTGGGGTTTGATGAATTAAACAACTTATTGTGTTCAAATAATTTTCAGCCTACCAATGCAATGTGGGAAGTCTGAGTCTTCAAATCCAGTTGTGCTCATAGATGCGTTCAGTGAATCAGGTATTGCTTGTGTTCCATGAGTAAACAACAATCCAGTCACAGCTTTATCAGATACAGGTGGTTTTTCATTTTTCTAGAAATTTACAAATCATTATTGTTTTATTAGTTTGGTTTAGTCATGGAAGAGCCCTAACAAAAGGACAGATTTACGATAGAGCTTCTAGGCTATTTATTCTATTTAATATATTACCCTTTAATTCCATACTCAATTACATTCACATATTGAATTGAATTTGTTTCTCAGGGAGAACTCTTAGGCAGAAGTATCTGTCTAGATTTGAAAAAGACTTATGATTTGAGGAGGTTTTCAATTTAGGTAACTATGATATTTATTTTTGTGTTAGAATTGAATCCTGTTATATATCACATCCAATCCATAATGTTGACGGGTAGTTGGGCATGCTGTGTCAGTCATTGGTATAGGACAGTCATTTGTGAGGTAACAGCTCCAATTTCACGGATCAAGTTGGATATTCATTGCTATTGCTTAGCTTAAATATATAACTACTTAACTTTATTATTACCTTAATTACAACTACAAATTTGACTCAAGGATAGATCTTTTTTTGAATTTATTATTTTTGTGTTCAGCTAAGGCTGTGTCTTTCATAAACTAAAGTTGAATTAGAAAATTCATACAGGTAGGTATGGTACCCACACTATTTTCTTGCACATGGTAAAATATGACGAAAAAATTAAACGCCCATACCGATACTTTAACCTATCTTGTAATTTTATTTGCACAAAAAAAAAGGATTTTCTTGACGGTTTTAACCAATAGCTTGATATTAATGTCAATCAATTTTTCTCATCATCAGTGCAACATCTTTATAAAGGTACTAGCGGTCGCCTGCGGCTCAACTCGCGTGGATGTCGAATTTACACTTTGTCAAGATTTTTCTCTATGTACAAACCTTTTCTGGGCTTCTACAAATAATTCTAAGTAGACCAAAATTTGCCAAATCGGAAAGTTATAACAGTACAACGAAAACGAAAAGTGACATTGATTTATATAAGTATATAGATTTATAGAAAAATCTGATTTTTCTTATTTTTCACTCAATTATTTTCTCTTCCGCTCAATTTATTCGTAGGTTTTTTTTTAAAGTATGTCTGTACTTTTGAGTAGAGCATCTATCAATACATCAATCACCTACCTTATCCTCCTTCGGACTGGAAACTACAACGTTATCAACATCCATTGCTATATTATGTTCTTTCACATTAACTTCCTCCGTACTTTTTAAATTTTCGGCGGGTAGTAAATCATTTTTCAAAGCAACTGCTTCTTCATCTACATCCATTGTTACGTCCGAAACTTCATTAGCCCCAAGGTTTTCATTTTGGAAAAACTTTGATTTAACAATTGTCTCATCATCTTTCTGAAACGATTCGTAGTTAAAGTTCAAAGTTTACCTTTTAATTTTTTGACGATTTATTGTATATCTTACCTACGCGTACCTCAGTAGGCTGCGCGACGTCGCCGCGTCCGCGCACGTTGCTCATGAGGAAGAACCCCTCTGTGGTTCGAAACTAGTAGAGCTTTTCTCAACATTTACACGTGAGTAACCCGCGAATTTTAGTTAATTTAGTATGTCTCACGATAGTTATTATAAAAACATATCTTACCTTTTGCAGTGTACAATTTTTTGCATACACAAATTGCGGTGATAGGTCTAAATTATGTTTTTTTAATATCATATCTTGTATCTTCATAAAACTATCCTCACTAGCCACACTCACATCCAATTGACTACTAATAGTTTGATCTTTTACGTCATTTTCCTCATTACTAATTATTTTACCAACATCTTCTATTATTTCATTTATTTTAACCGATGAAGGAATATCAAACGATACTCTCTTCTTTTGTAGACCATCCTGGGAAGTCTTAATAATAATATACATTTATATTTAAATGGCTATTTTATCTATTTATCCAGTACCTACCTATGTAAGAAAGCCATTTTTTTCAAGCGTTTTTCTCTACCAACTTAAAATCTAATTGAGTACTTAAATAATATTTTTTAAATATTATCTATTACCGTCAATGTGATATCCAAGAATTGTGTTGGTGGTATTAAAATGTCGTCTGCACTAGGACGTGTAATATCCACTTCTTCGATATTGTCGCTCTCAATCGGCGTAGACTATTTTTCAGAAAAAAATACACATTAAATCTCATTCATAACTTAAATAAAATTGGACCACTCCAAGGTTGCCTTACCCTATCCTTTGAAACTGTTTGTTCTTCTCTAACGTTTTTATTTTCACCCAAAGGAATCTCATTAATAGTCCGAAGATGTTTTAGATTAACCTTTTTAACAATGTTGTACACTTCTTCGTTATTTATGTGAACATCTTCTAGGATATTAATCAACTTTCTCTTGGAGAAGTTGTGCGCTTCCTTATCTTTATACGAATTAAAATACGGTGAAATAACATATTCAAAAGCTTTACTGTCATCATTGTATGGTTTAATATCATTAATGCCCAAAATATCTGTAGCATCCGTTCCTGTTGGTATGTTTTTGGATATTTCTATGTCCATCATTTTAGCCTGTTTGAATATATAATGTAGTAATTTCAGAATCAATTTTAAAAGAACTTACCTACCTACCTGCTAATTTTATTAAAGTTCCTTACCCGTTCAACGTTAATATTCATAATATCAAGGTCTAAGTTAGCCAGTTCTAATTTTGGTATCTGAAAGAACAAAAATAAAATGAAAATTAAATAACCTATAATTAAAAAATATATCATTTAATAATAAAAAACTCGACTTACCAATGCATCATCATCGTTTTTATCCAAGTTTTCATTTTTGATTGAATCTTTAGTTTGAATTTCAATTTTATCCTCAATTCCTGGCTCCACGACTGTTGTTGTTATCGCAGTCATTTTCTTTCTAATGTTTTCAATTTGTTTTGTTATTTCATTAATATTTTTAGTTTTTTCGTTGATAATAGTTCTCACATTCGGTATTTCATTGATCACAAAGTTAGCTAATTCAATGCAACGTTTTTTGTCCAAAGTTATACAATTTTGGCGTTGAATTTTCATCGACTCAAAAAGTGTTATGGTTTCTTTGTCAAGAGTTTCAATATCGTTATTAAGAGCCCGAACCTTTTCCTCGGAACCAAGTAGCTTTTGAACGAATGGAATGCTCTCGTACCTAGCTTTACATTCTTGCCATAGATTTTCGTACTTCTTTTTACCCTCTTCTACGCGTTCAATTATGTCTGTCTTGCGTACTTTAGTTACAAGCAATTCTTTCCTCAATTCAACATTGCCAGATTTAATAGTCTCTTGGGCTATTTGCATACTGTAATGTTTTTCCAAAACTATCTGTCATGAATGTTATTATAAAATACCTACCTACTTACTAAGGTCTTTATTAAAGGTAATATTTTAAAATACATTAATGAGCTAATTCGTAATCATTATTGAATCTTCTGCGACTGTCATAAACCCTATATCTAGATTTTTTTTCAAACAAGGTAACAAACTATCTCTTTGTCTAAAAACCAATCCATAGTAGTTGTAACCTTTGAGTCGATTATCAACGTTCGGCATATTATGTGTTTATAGGAGAGTGCATGTGTATGGGTAGTTCTTATTCCGCTAGGACAGGATCACTAGATTATGAGCATTCACAAGCAATTTGTAAACGACGACCAGTCCTAAACTATTCTTAGGACTGGTCGTCCTTATCGTCTGTGGGTAGTCTACTGAGAAACCAATGGTTTCTACCATTGGAACTATTACATATTATACTACATTTTTTTGTTTGTTAATCTTTTAATTGTGTGACGAACCTGTTTATTTCCAACTCTGCCTGTTTGATTTCGGCCTCTAGTTTCAAATTGGCGCTGCTGATAAAGCCGCAGGTCTCCTTGTGGCGTTCAGCCTGTTTCTTCAACTTATCGAGTAAAAATGCTTGAGCTAAAATGTTTAGATACACATTTTTTTACAACTTGGATGGAATCCACACCAAGAAGATGCTATTTCGGAGCAGTAATTAGATTCATCATCAGCCTATAAGTGCCCACTGCTGAGCAAAGGCCTCTTCTCACACGGAGAAGGTTAGAGCATTAATCACCACGCTCGTTCAATGCGGATTGGCGATTTCAAACTTATAACTAGAAATTATAAGTCCAGGTCCTCACGATGTTTACCTTCACCGTTTGTCAGTGGTGTCTAAATAATCATAGAGAGTACATATAACTCGGAAAAAGTCACATTGGTACTTGCCAGGTTCGAACCCACATCCTCATGCATGAGAAGCGGGCGCATTAACCTCTGGGCCACCACCACATTAATTAAGTAATTAGATTATGTACATCAATAGATATAGGTACTAATCTTATGTGTTCGTATTCACTATGTCGATAGATAACTATGTAATAGCTAGCGTATTTAGGTAAGTAAGTACTTTGTATCTGGTAATGGTAAAGGTGTAACCAATACCGTCAACTTTATCTAGAATAGAAGACGTACAACAATTGCTGATGCAGTGTGCTCGGAAGAAAGAACATGACTTATTTGTAAAGAAATTTATCTTCTTATATATAAAAATGGATCGCAAAATATGTTGGTAAGCGCATAACTCAACAACGCCTGGACCAATTTTGCTAATAATTTTCTTGTTGTGTTTGCTATTGTCAGGAGAAGGTTTTTATCAAAGAAAATATTAGAAAAGTAGAGGAGGGAAGTTTAGAAAAAAGTGACCCGTGAAAGTGAAAAGCGAGATAGTTGGACCCGTGCGAAGCGGGGGCGGGCCGCTAGTCATAAATAAATTTGATGTATAACCGTACCTAATCCATCCTATCGGGTACTTATATCTTTGAAAATTAGTTAATATTGTGCCAGTTAATGCCAGTTAATTATTCGCCTCCTATAGATATAAATCGTGAACTAATAATGTAGGTACTTAGGTACAACAAAATATTTATTACATTTGTTATCTTACCTTTAATGCATTGACTCGAAAGAATAACTTTTATTTGAGATTCGTCAACTTCGCTTGATATTTTTTCTAAAGCCTGTACATCGTTTAGTTCTTCCATGTTTCTACGTTGCAGATAACTTCAAATTAACAATTCTCTCGTATTACAAAGTTATTTAATCGTTTTGCGCTACGCCAAAGCTTAATGGCGGGAACGGTTTTTACTTTTTTTTTCATAGGGCAGATATTAATTTTTATACTGCCAAGCTACGTTGAGCAAAGAAATAGTTAAAAAGTGTATTAGAAATTACTACAAAATATTGTATTTACTTACTAATTTTTTAATTTTTGTCAGCCTTCGTTGAATAAATAAGTAAATCGCCCATTTATGCATGTTAAAAAAATATATGATTTTAATTCTATAATCTACTTAGTTTATGACTGGCTATTGAAAGTATGTAAAACAAACAGAAAATATTAGGGACGAATTTAAAAAAAAAATTTATCACACTCGTTGACTTTTTAATTAGTATCGTCATTGGGTCAACCTTTAACGAACTAATTACTTTACTATGAAAAAGAATATTGCCTCAGACTTACGTCAAGGTATACATATGTTGCAGTTACTTTGTAAATTGGGTATAAAGTAGGTATGTCCAGTCGCCGTTCGCTAGATAAGAGAACGATAGGTTCTTTATTAGTGATCGATGACAAGCAAAAAAAAAACAGGTATAATAATATACAAATCCCCAAAGTTTACTGGATTTACTCACAATAGGTTCATGCGAAAAAGCCATGGATTGGTCAATGCTATGTTACCAAACTGAAAAACTGTTTCAGAAACTTCCACCTCTTATAACTTTTAATCTGTAGGTAGTGTTTACTTTTACGAATACAACTCAGTATTAACTTCTTAATATGTTCGGCTGATTGTTTTTGTTTTGTATGTTCACCGATCACTCCGCCATTTATAAACCGATTTTCAAAATTCTTATTTTGTTTGAAAGGTTATACTCCCGAGAGGTCAGGGTCTGATGATGGGATCTCCTGCACTATTTGGAGCAGTTGCCTTGTGTTTGGGCTTGAATGATTCGTATTGGTCAGCACTTTGCACCAAGATGATGATGAGAACGAAGGGCAGCTCAGGAAACTCCTGAACGGTTCACAGTAACTACCTCGTGTTTGGACTATTCATTTATATCGATGAAGACTTCGCCCCTATATGTGTTACAATGAAGTTATGGAGTAAATCTGATGATGGAGCAGGAAGACTATCGTGGGACCTTTTTGACTATTTGGAGTAATTATGTTGTGCTTGGATTTAATTCATTTATACATATTGATGAGAACTTTGCACCTATATGGATAATTCAAGTATATTGAAGGTCTGCAGTTTACATGATAATGGAGACGATTGACAGTCGAGGGAATTCCTCAACGATTTACAGCTAAACTAACTGAACACTGACTAACTCAGGACAAGTACCTACTATTACCGTGATTTTCGGTCTCAAGTAGCCGTCGTCTTCTCATTCGAAAACCACTATACTTGCTTGCTCTGCCTATCACTTAAAATTGTGAAATAAATAATTTTTAACAAAAATATTCCTACTTCAAAAAGTAAACTAAAAAGCCAAAAATAAATTTTCTTTGTAGAAATTATATTTTGTATTATACATGTTTTCATTTAGTTAAATAGAAAATAATATTAATAACCATTTTATAATCTCGAAGTACTTAATACTTGTGCTCCAGGCTCTGTAGGTTTTAGCCAAATCCGGATCACCAATTAACACGCTTCTCCACCGAATCCAAAGCTGCCAAATAGTATTTTGCAGCACTAGCCCATATGTGGCTGTAGTACTCCACACACGACCCGATATATGTGCTTTGTATAAAATTAGAAAGTTTAGAAACTATTCCGGTGTGAAGTACCTCCGAACCTTTGCAAGAATACCCAGTTTCTTAGCTGCTACCTTGACTTTGGACTCAATGAACCGCCTAGGTATAGTTTAAATTTGAGGAGATTTAAATTCCCAAGAGCTGAAGGCAGTCGGTGTACTTCAAGAAAACATTCCGGAAAGCAGGAACCAAGGTGAGCGGGCTTCTTATGGCGGTGAACAGACACGCTTGTGTTTTGTTGCTGCTGAATCCGACAAGATTCGTAGGGTTCAGATCGTGATCACTACGATTAAAATGATCAGTGTTAATTTACTTATAATTTGCCTGTTATATCCATTTAAACCTTGCTCTCAAATCAATCTAGCATAGTTTTAAGATAAACGTCGTAAGTATAAGTATACACAGGCACAAAGAGTGCAGCAGTGTGGGGTTTGTAGTCAGCGGAAAATTGGGTAGGTAGTTTCCTAGGTCAAAAATAAATTAATTCGACGTTTCAATGCAATGAGATGTTGAAAAATAACTATACGTTTATTCATTGATCTGTCGATACACAACATTTTTATATCTTCAGCTAATTTTAAAGAAATAAGTAAGCTGTTTGGTCACTACAATACTATGACGTCATAACTCAGTGGTATAGAAAAGTATCGTTTTTGACATTTGGATAAAAGTAATGAATTTGACTAGTTGGAAACTACCGTATTAGGGCACTTAAATGTATTTTTGAACACTTGTAACCGTTGACACGTTGTTGAACTGTACCTACCGCTACCTACCGATATTTATTACGCTTTGCGTGATCGTATTTTATGGAGTATCAACAACAAGTTGAAAACATCCAACTGGTAGTTTTCAACAAGCTTATTGTTTTCTTGCCCTATAGATACACACGTTATATAAAAAAACGAGTGGTATGCCAATTTTTCTTATTGACATTATAAATGACAATAGATTATGGTAGTGATGTTAAAAATGAAACAAAAACATTAATACCTAAAATTTATTTAACAAAATAGTGTCATACAGTTATTTAAAATAACAGACATAAATGATAATTTGCAATACAACCTAGCATCCTAATTAAACCAGGTACTTTTCAAAAATTTATCCCACTAATAAAAAAATTATAAAGTATAAGGACAAACAATGACGAATGCAGCACGAAGGAATGTTGGCTAACTAGTGTCGCTAGTGCACACATCCGTCGGCCGTGCGCTGAACTAGCCGATACACCGACCCACTTTGAATACTCAACACATGGCGTCCAATTTTTATAGATTCATTTATAACCTCCGGCATCGTAATTACGAACGGGCACCGTAATACGCAATACGCCCACATGCAGATCACATCCACAAACGTCTCTCGTACCGCAACCGATCGACATGGTCGTTGGTCACAATGGTTACGCTTACTAAATGGCAGCTACAACATTATAATACTGTTGGCGGAAATATAATTACTTCATTTTGTCCGAGATGTGCGCCACATGCTCGTGACATCGCAGACACGTACAAGATGTTCAGCTAAATAATATAATGTTTATATTAAACGCAAGTCACACAACAATAGTCAAATGATTTGTATAAGTCACAAACTTTGAATCGACACTTAACCAACTATTTAAATTCTAAACACCAATAATAAAATTTTCATTTTCTACTATGGAAACCATGTTCTGGTCTTTATAAATATTACAATAGTATTTTGGCATTACTGACTGACTGACTGGGTCGAATAATTAACACCTGGACCTAAACCAGTAATACACTGTTACATGAAAACATCAAATCTAAAGCGAGCTTCAAAGTGTAGAATAGTTGAGAGGGACTCGTGGCTCGAGTGCCGTGTGGTACTGTTACAACGTTACAACACGCCTTGCGCGGTGCGCCCACCGCTACAGACAGGGAATGTCTAATGTCAATTTACAGGTAATCACATTGATCAGCACTCATTCGGAAATCAATTATAAGCTAGGAGAACAACTCAAAGCACGTCAATCTGGAATAACTTAACAGTAATACTTACAAATACACATTTTAAGAATACCTACTGGGTCCCACATCAAATTATAATAGTTTTAAACATTAAATTAACATAGTTTGTACCGCCAACATTCACTAAGTGCGATATTATCACTATGCAATTACATAAAAAGAATCGTTACTTAAATCGCTCACTCAGCCACGAAACGTACAAATGGAAAATACCCTGCGTATGTCCTTTTTATGTAAATACACAGCGACTTGTTAGTAATTTGTCTACTTTTAAAGTTACATCAGTCGAACGGTAAATTTTTGAGGAAAATAGTTTTTACATTCAAATATAATATACATTTCAACAACATCGAAACTCACCACCGGCGAACTTAAACGTACTTCCGAAAGATTTCCACTGCGGGGCGGGCGCGAGGGCGCCGCCCCGACCGCACAGCGTCCGACGCGATCACAGCTCTCTCAGAATTTCGTCCGAAAGGAGGGTAATTTTTAACGTTTTTTTCTAGGGAGAGGCCCCCCGGGCCGAGCGGCGCCTCATTAACTGTAGGGCTGCGGCGGCAGGATCTCTGTGAGCAGTCGCTTGAGGCTGTCGATGCCGGTGAGGAAGCCGCAGTCGGGCCCGTGGTGCGGCGTGCTGGTGGCCAGCGGCGACTCGGCCGCGGCGCCCGCGTACGCCGTGTGCGCGAAGTCGATCATGCGGATGTCCACGCGCTCGTCGGGCGGGGGCCGCGCCGGCCGCGGCGCCCACGTACGCGCGCGCTTGCCGCTGCCCGGCTCGGGCTCCGCCTCGGCCTCGCCGCGCCACGACTCGCTGCTGGTGGACGAGTACGCCATCCAGCTGTCGGCCGAGTCGGGGCTGGGCGGCTGGCGGCGCGGCGAGTGCCCCGCTACCTCCCCGTCCTCGTAGCCTCCCATGGTCTCCTCGGAGTGCGGCCGGAAGGGCTCGCGCGCGCCTGGCTCCGTTGAGATCTCGTCGTGCAACGTGGACATGTCGAAGTGGCCCGGCGACGGTGCCAACTCCGCCGAGCTACTGGACGCATCCGCGTCGTACTCAGAAGTAACGCCGCGTGCCTCCTCGGCCAGCGCTGTCTCCACGTCACCTTCGTATACTATCAGCAATGAGCTGCAACAATTGATTTTGTGTATTAATGTTATGCTGTCAATCGATTTATTATGGTGCATCATTAGTGAAGATGGAAGAGTACTCACCATGAGTAGAACCTATAACTAGTTTGCTTGGCGATGGCTCTGCGCAGTGCATCGAGGTCGCGCAGCACCTGGCGCACGACGCGCGCGCGCAGGCCCGCGCCGGCCGCGAAGAAGTCCCGCAGCGCCTCGCGCAGCCCGCTCTCGCTGAGCGCGCGGCCCCAGTACTTGTCGCGGCGCACGCAGGCGCCGGTCTCGGGCACGTACACCTGCATGCCACAGAGGCGCACGCCGAGCGTGGCGGACGTGCTGGCGGCGCACTTGGCGATCTGTTTGCTGCGCTTCTCCGCGGAGGCGTCGTCGCCGTGCTGCCGCGTGCCCATCTTCAGGTCCAGCACGCACGGCCGCCGATACGAAGATGTGATATTCTCCATCATCAAGAAATCTGTCACAAACAAAACAACGTCAACTAACTCAATAAGTATTTAACATGAATATGTTATATTGTTGTTGTATATAATGTGTGTAGCTACTTACACTGCTTATTTGAATTGTCCATATGTGCAATGCTTTTAAGTACCTCGCTTGCATTTCCATTTCGATGTACCTTGAATCTGCAAGGAGAAAAGTAGAATTGTAACAATCTGGCAGAGACGCACGCAAGCTACGATCGACAGATAGCAGAGGAGCTAATGAAACACAGGTAGATTCATTGTTATCTGTTATATTGCAACATTTCAATCAAATTATAGATGTCATTACCACGACTCCACGACGCAAGTCATCGGAGGCTCGCAGAGTGAATGGGTCGTGCATCGCTCACGCGTTAGTGGGATAGTCATGTAAGTATTGCGATCGAATGAATTAATGGCGACGTCGGCGGCGGGCCGGCGTACGTCAAAGCTTCTGAAATATGATAAAGGACACATGACAAGTGCCGAGGATGTCGGTCGCCGCATGTCGCGCGGATACGCACTTGAACACGTCGTCGCGCTTGCGCTTGCCGCCCAGCGACTGCTTGCGCCCGTTCTCGTCTCGGAAACAAGGCGAGTACCGCTTGTCCAATTTGGGCCCTCCAGTGTTAGACGCCTGCATCACGCCTGAAACAAACAGCCTCGCCATCAATACTGGGGTCCGCCAGCACACACGCACACACCACAGCTATGTATTAACATCGATACTGACTGTTCGAACTTCAAAATGTAGGGACGTCATCTTAAACAAAAACATTGTACTGTGGCAGTACAAGAGGTGAATGAAGTTTGTGCAAGATAGAAGATTGCAAACTCAGAACAAGCCCAGTCGGGTCCCGACCCGGAACTGGCCAGTGTGCCACTGGTTCGTTATTGGGACATTGAATGAGTTACTTGATCCACTATCTACGTTCGTATAGTCAACATTAACTTACTATGGTGCAAGTTGGCAGCGTTATTTGATGAGGAAGTGATTAAGTTACTTTGTTTTTAAACAGGGTTTGTATATCTTTTGTATCGAGTCTCGTGTAACGTGTAACTGCATCGGTAGGCGTGTATGTGATCAAACACTTATATTGTTGTAAGTAGACAATGCATGTAGGTGTGTATGCGTGTATGTATAAGTATGATGTGGGTGTAGTTTTTAAGTAAAGGTTTACAAACCCAAAATGTAAAATTACCGCTAGGGCGCTATTAGGGGCGGTTGTGTGGTGCGCCGCCGGCGTCGCTCCGCCCGCCGCAGCGCCGCAGCCCTTGCGACAACAAGGAAACTAATATTGTGTTCCTGACCCCAGGCCCGCTCCCGCTCCCGCACCCGCTCGCGCGCTCCCACTCAAACCCGCCGTCCCTCTGGCCACGCGGTGCCACGCACGCCCTAACCTAACCTAGCCGTTCGCACATACACTGAACTTTTACTTGTTACGCACGCACTATGCACTTCTATCCACGGATGCATCTAACTAAACATACAACACCAAACCAAACAACAACCCATCGAACAAAACCTGTTGTCCGCTATTACCAAACTTGAACTCTAAGGTCACTTACAAACCAAACTGTTTCTAATTAGCAAATAAAATAAAACGGAAACTAAATAATAAGGGTTACGTAAATACGTTGTCTGCTCACTTTGAAGTCAGCAGGTACGCGCATGCCATTCTTGCAGATAGGAATCGAGAACGCAGTAGGTAACACAGTAAAAGTTCAAATGTATCATGATGCACAATGCGAGCAATACGTGTGTTCATTAAACTGGGCAAAATGTTGTTCCAAATAAATCTTTTACAAATACATTGAAATCCGTACTGATATTGCCACATCGTGCACCAATCGTAACGTGAAAGACAAGTAACAACATTGTTAACTTTTGTCTGTCATTACTTATAATAGGTATCTTTATTCGTGGCCACAAATGTTCTGGTTTAGCATAAATGTACCAAGTTATTGTATACAGGTATTGTGGAATGTTTTTATTATAATATACCAAAATATATTAAGTAAAGACAAAATAGAAACACGCTAAACCATTTCATAACAAAATTATCGAGCGTAAGTATATTATGTACTATGTATATATGTATCATCGTTCATAAAAAAGTATTATTATCATAATACTTACCTAAGGGCCTGTTTTATAGTTTGCATAAGTATAGTTATGTTAGACACATTAGCAATTAAAGTAAATATCATTAATAGCCATATGTCAAAGTAAAATAGTTTTAATATACATAGGTACCGTGGGAATTATTATAGGTTGGTGCATAGTATAACGGTCGGCGGGTTTGCTTCGTTCAACATACACACAGTCCCTTTCATACACACGACTGATGGTTACGATCATCAAGCAATAAGGAAAGTTTTTTTATTAAGTACAGTTTAATCATATTTCACAGCTTCATGATTGAATAATGATTACATTAGATAATCTTAAGTACCGAATGACGCAAGAGATAAAAAATAAATAATTATAAGTACATGGCAATCGATCAAAAACATGTGAAACACGTACATAACGGTTCGAACGATCGATATAACATCTGCCAATTCGATACCATCCATGTTTCGTAAACACGATATTCACAAGGCTGTGGAAAACAGATAACGACAATGTTTAATCAATTTATGACAATTAATTTAATAAAATCAATAACTTCCTTAGTGCTTCAAATGCAAAGACATTTAAACAACACAATTTATGTAAACAAAAACGGATATATCATTATAATTAAAGAATAATGTAAGATGCAATGAATGAACATGATGCATTCAGCGAATCGTAAAAGCGTACTGGTCGGCCATATTGAATCGTGTTCAACGCGGCAAAGGAGTGTGATGCTCACCTTTGTATCTGGGTACGAAGTTCTGGATGTCTTCGGGAATGTTCTGGTAGAAATGCAACTCGCGAATATTGAGCGGCTTGATTACTGTACTGTCGTTTAGCACCAACAGTCTAGTGTGGCCCCCCACCTGCACATAAAACATCGCAATTAGAGAAAACTTTATTAAAAAATTCACTGTAAAGGTTTGTAAATACTCCATAATGTACAATATTTTTTTCTTATTATGAATTCCTACCTCATTGCCTTTCCGCCATTGTGTGTACAACAGGTGTACGTACTGCTTTTTAGCAAAATGCAATAAGCAATTAGGAATTCTTGTAAATTACACATAGTACATTGAAACGTTATGCAGATTAAAAACATAAAATAAAACATTAATATGTAATTTCAACTGACTTTTTATTAAATTTCATTAATTTAAGATATGTGCATTGTAAATATTAATACTGTATGAGTCAAATTATGAATGCTCGTCATCAAAGTCGCATGGAGCTATATCTAATAGAATCTATTAGTCAGGTATCACTTTGTGTCGTAAAATATAAACTCGTATACCTAAGCGCAAATAACACCGCGTCGTCAACCGATACTAATAATTCACATGACACGCAAAGCGAATTGCAGTCTGTACAATATGCATCTACCGATCGAATTACTTGCGAGTGAGAAATAGTGTAAAAAGTATGGCAGGTGGTGCCATTGACCTGTGCTGTGGCTCAGGCACAACACTTGGGCGCGGCTCGACTACCCTACCGACAGGGCCGCCCCGGATTTCTAGCATCCTAATATACATATGTATACATTCAAAATCGTAAGCAACTTATATGATACCTGTCTAGACAATGATAAGCCACCCGCAGGTACAAATTAGCGGTCGGGAGGTCGTTGCATTACGATCACGTATTTGCATAATGGAACAAGGTAAAGACTTACATATAACCAATTATACCTTTATATTCTTAACGTATCATATAACAGGACCTCTTTAATCAGATAATTTAAAACATTAGTTAGTTATAAAATGTCGAGTGATCGGCGGCAGTCTGTCACTATAGGCTAGGCACATGAGCAATGAATACTCTTTGGAAATGCCGTTCCGCCACGTTGCGGAGTTTGCGCATTGCACCTCACACCGTAATGTACGCATACAATTCTAAAGACATATCAGGCCAGTAGGCAACCATCACAGAATCGATTAATTAATAACAAACGAATGAAATTGAAACTAAAATTAACACCCGGTTTCCGAAAGTCCGATCAATGTTAAAATCAATTTAATCTCTTGTCAAATCATCTGATTGGTTGACTGAATTATCAACAACCAATCAGATGACTTGACAAGAGATTTAACAAGAGATTAGTTAATTTTAGCGTTGACAAGCCTTTCAGAAACCGGGTGTTAGTCTTTACTGTTCAAAAGTTAAGGTGTAAAAATACACCGTTATCGTGCCGTATCAGTGTGATAGCCTTTTGAGGATTAAAGTTCTATAAACGACTGAGTAACTTATACTTAATTAAATTTTACACATCCCTCCATCGAAAATTCAGACTTGGTAACAATTACGAATTTAGTTTTTGGCAAACAACAACGGATTAATCAGTACACTATTATTGCTTGTAATAATTTTGATACATACAATATCACATTCGAAACTGCTTTACTTCTATTTATAGACTTAAGGCTAAATAACATAACCGCACTTGAACTGTGCTCAACAAAAGTTGTATATAGCCGAACGCAAGACGAGTTTGTTTGGTACAGACTTAGCCAAAGTTAAACAAAGTTTGAGTCAATAATAATGAATTATTTAGACATAGATTATGTTTAATGAATATTTAAGGATCATAGACGGGTTTGTTTATGGATTTCATTAGTAATTGGTAGTTTTTTTTATTATTCTTAATTCTTTTTATGTGATAGGGCTGCTAACGGGTTAATGGATCACCGAACGGATGATGGTGAGAGAGATGAGACTTCGCCTGTGAACTTTCGCAACACAAAAGGAGTTACAAGTGCGTTTGTGTGATTTGAAGGTTAAATTTGGTAAGGAGAAACAAGACAGGCGTTTTTAAAGAACATTTTATGTGAGGTCATAGTACTTTCCGGCAGGCCAACATATACAGTTTCTTACATAATAATCAATTAACATTAAACACCAATCATAACGTTATCCGGATACCTACATTTTAGTGCAAAATAATTTATCATTCCTAAATTAGTCTGCTCTTTATCTTTCCAATTTCCTGCAAGGGTTTACAGTAATAAATATGATATATGTGTTATTTAATGTGTTTTATACATTTTTTAATTATCTATGTAGTTGTGAAATTAAATTTTCAAACTTATGTAGTTTCGTTGCCTCGTGAAACAAAAGGTGAAAATCATATTTAATTAATAAGTGGATCGGCAAAAGACCAATAAGTAAGTGGTCCTCGTTATCATAACTGTCAGTACACCAAGCCAAACTAAATACTACGAAGGTGCTACGGTGCTACGAAATCCCGTAGCGTACAAAAGATTTTTAGATTTGTTTTAAGTTAATGAGGATATTGGCTTGGAGATAAATGGTACTACTAACTGACAATAGATTAAAGTTAAGAGAATCCTTTTCAATCTTACTACCAGATATGAAACAGGGTGCTAGTTTTTCGGTATACATAATTCTAAAACTAAGATCTTGCTTGGCTGGGTATAATAATTCTCTAAGATGGTAAGGCAATATAATTAGTCACAATTTCAATGTTAAGGACTGTTATATTCATTCTCCCTAGATAGTTCTAATAAAGCGTAAGACCCTTTCGATCAATTATACCACCAGCAGTCAAAAACTATTTATTAAACAAGAAACCTGTGTGGTTGTTTCTACCAGAGCGCCTATGAAGGATACCGTTTCAGCTATAACTAGCTACTCTCACGCGGTTTCTCTACGGATCATAGCATGATGTTTTATAGCCTATAAAGCCTCTATAAATGGACTAACAAACACAAAACGTTTTGTTCAAATCGAACCAATAGTTCCGGAGATTAGCGCGTTCAAACAAACTCTTCAGCTTTATAATATAAGTATAGATGTACCTGATTGTGTAAGGGCAGAACGTCGACTTCATGTCCTTCGTCAGGTGAGAGCGGCGTGTGTACGACGGTGACCGGCGCCGGCTGGCCGCGCTTGCGGTCCGCGCCGCGCCGCTCCGGCTCCCCCATGCCCCAGCCAAGAGAGTACACCATTACTTCGGCCGAGCCACCGCCGCCGCTGTCCACCTGATCAACAAATACAAACCACAAATTAAATACATATATTAATCACTACCTTCACCTATAGAATTACTATTTTTACTGCAAGGTTGGCGCGATGGCTAGGCAACTGGCTGCAATGCCTAGGGAACAACTCTTGTGTTATCCACAAATTGTTGTTAAGGGTCTAACAGTCTTGTGTATGTAAAATTGTATGTTTGGAAACGCACTCACGACACAGTAGAAAACTTCAGTGTGGGGTAAAGTTTAAAAAAATAGCTGAAGATTCGTGTCAAGACATCGTTTAATAATTCGGCAAACCTACAAGGGAGACCCAGGTTATAAATTGGGAAAATAGCAAACAAAAGAAGGTTCACCTACTTATTAGTTTAAGTACGAATTGAAAATAGCAATGAATAGTGATGATAGATCTGTTCCCAGGAGTACGTGACCAAGAACGTCAACGAACGGAAATGAGCCAGGAAATGACGGTGTATGGACGACTGGACAATATAGAGAATGTTTTAAACTAATAACAAATGCTACGTAGATACTAGCTTTGATCATAATTGCGTATGACGACATTAGGCATTCCCCACCTGCCAAAAAACCTTAACCGCAAAACGAAAAACATTTTAGGTATCGGCGATATATTAAATGAAGTGAATATTAAAAAATGACCATTTTGACTGTCTTACGTAATTAATCAAATATGATTTATTAGTACCTGTTTATCTCATTTTATTTTGGCTACGGCGGAGTTATTGCCTTCTTAAATTCAATATTTGATATCATTATCACTCAATTAGGTAGATATTTAATGAGTTTAATGTTCAATTACTTATAATTATTTCAATCACAGATCATGGAATGTTACATAATTCAAGTAATGGGGAAATACTGTACAATAATTGATTACAAGTAACAACAGTCTTCATAATATTGCAGCATTTTATATAGGTAACAGAAATACAAATTCAAACATGTTTCTTTATATGGATAATAAACGTAGGCTGCTACAGACACTAGTCTAGTTTAATCGATTGAACTTTAAAATGTTGATGCAACAAAATATTTCTTCATATAATAATTACATAACATATGTTACATTTTACATAGAATCAAACAAAAATTGTGACACAACAATTCTGTTACGATTATTTAATTTACCTAATATGGTAAACTTATTAAATAATAAGTTGCTGTTCCGTCCGCGTGTTTCACTTTACGTTCTTTACTGAATTAATGATATATAATTTCGTTACTAAAAATATTGGATTCACTACATATTTACATATTTTTTTGTGTATTTACAAACTGTGTACAATGGGTAGCATCTGTTAACATCGAACAAACAAAATTAATTGAAACGACCTTCACAAAGTTGGTAACCACGAAACCCTTATCGTTGCTCCGCTCAAACAACTTTGAGGATCAACACCGAGTTATTTATAAAACCAAGTGTATTGATAGAAGAGGGTTCACATTGAGTTCAAAACGATTGGTTCATTCATTGCCAGTGAGACAAAGAAACAAAAAGCATACAGCAGTGCAAGATGCAAGTGGCTACAGCTAGTTTAATCAGTAAATGTCAGATTTAAAGACCGGGGCCTTCGAATGCTTTGAATAGAGTCTAGAAACTGCGCGAGCTCTCTGCTTATTATATTTTATTTTGACCTCTCACTCACAAATCACAACTGTCAGTTTCTTTGAAAAGGGCACGACACGACAAAGCGATCCAGACATTTCTACAAAATCCGTTTATACACCCGCCACCTGGCCTCCACATACCTCGGTTATAAATGTGGTTGTTACGTCTGGTGGCTCTTTAATTTTCGTACAAAATACATTCCAGGCACATAACATCTGGTGTAGAGCACGCGGGTGCGTTTGGCTTTATGTTTGATGTAAACATTCTCGTGTTTACCACATTATTCTTTGTTTAATTTAATCGATGAGTGTTTATTATGACGCATGAATAGTGCGATTTTTCCGATTCTGTATGTCACATCGTCAAGATGCGTAGCGCTACTAGAGCTTGCCAGCGGTCGCTCGCGGCGTCACCAAATTAGAAGCGAACCCGCGATGCGTGTGTTCGGAGTATATTTGCATGACGCGCAAGCCCCGCCTCTCATATAGTCCGAGGCTCGTCAGCGAACCACCTACCACTACGACGACAACACGTCATTACCAGCCATTACTGAAATAGAGTACCAAAAAAATACACGTCATAAAATCATATGGTTCCAAACAACAACGACAGTTTGCCAAACTCTGAACCAAAATAATCTAGCATGGAGTCTGAAACATAATAATAGGCAGCTGCCGCAGTTATGAATAGAAAAGTTATAAAGACGAGACTTGAATTATTTATTCTGTACATTATCGACGAAACCTTCAAACTCTTGATAAGAGCAATAATAAATGCGTGTGTTGTGTACCTATCGTACCGTTTTGCGAGTTAACATTATGCTAGCGCTTGGTGCTCACTATACATTGAACTGTGACGAAAACGAATGTTTGTAAACGCAAGATAATAAGGTCATGTGTGCTGAGAACCGGATACGACCGGTTTCGAGGAGACGAGGAGTTGTTGTGTCGACATAGTTAAATTTACACGGGTAGTAATAGACTACTGACAGCCGGAGCATAACTATAACGGTTTATTACGTAACGCTAATGAGACGACTGATGCCCGACCTAATCACACGGCCTGTTAACTCGCAGGCTAGATAAATATTACTGCCGGTCGGAAAAAACGATAACCACAATGCTCCAATGAAAAATTTAATGGTAGTTTCGCTGTAAGAACTTAAGGAAGAAACCAAATGACAATTAAACTTTTTAGCTACAGGGGAGATTAGACTTTAGACCTTTATAGCTGTTAAGTGTTTGTAATTGAATTAAGTCAAGCAGCAAATTGACAAAATTTTCACAAAACAGGAACAAAACTACAAGCAACATTTAAAACAACTAATTACTGAACGAGACAAAAGCTTACGACATATGCAAACAATAAACAAATACTTATGATGTCGTACGATGCAATCATAACTGATAAAAGTGTTTTCAAGGTTGTGTGTTGTACAATTTTCCTTTTGTTTATCAGAATGTAAAGTATTTTGGACAAACACAAATAATTCAACGACCCTGCCTGGCGTGAACAAACGCTGCAGGAATTCTGGGCATTCGGCCGTATATTTCTGAGAAATTCATTGAACCTCCTTGCAGATTGACAAAATTAAATACAGAAGCGACAATTTATTTGCTTTATTTCAGACAATGTTCATACATAGGTACTTAAATGACTGAACTTTGTTATGACGGCTGTAACATAATTACAATGGTAATTGCTTTGTTTTTCAATAACAAACAAAGTTAAAATAGCATTAATTTTTTGACTGAAATCTTATTTACATTAAAATCATCCTCATTATTAGGACCCAACGTTAAGTCTATAGAAAAAGTATACAGTCAAATGGCAATTGCACTCAATCAGATTACCTATTGTAGATATAAGGAAACAACAATAACCTCAAAATGCACTGATTGCGTTCAAAAATCAAACAAAGGTGTGTAATATTTTGCTTTAAAAAAGTAGGCATTATGTTGTATTACTGAACGTTTGACGTTTCCAAATTTCACGTCGTGTCCCTTCAAATTTACAAAACCAGGGGAAAATATAAGTTTGTAAAATGACCTGTTATATTGTAAAAAGTATAACATGTAAAATGACGAGGTCGCGTATACTTGCACTTGTAAATTTGGGTCACTAGGTTGCGTTCGTACCTATGCGGCTACACCTAGTTTTTCGGTTCCAGTAATCCTATGCCGTAGTATCACAGATCAGTGTTGATCCACAGGTTCGTAACATTTGACATATGTAAAATAGTTGCCTTGTCCGTTCCAAATTTCTCATTGGATTTTTGGCACAGAGGTGGACCATGACCTGGAATTAGTGACCGCGACTGCAAGTAGATGGAAAGTAAGATCATAAAAATAGATGCTTTCCCGGGATTTTCTAGTTGTTTTAAACAAAATGTGATCGTTATTTAAACAACAAATATTTTAAAGATGAAACACATAAACATGAAATGAGAAACTATACAATTAGCTAAAAATCAGGAATAATCACAAGATGAAATAGACTGCGATTTTACATAATATGATCACGTGATAAAGGAATGCGGCAAAGTGCTGCACTGAAGAGTCTGCCAACAATAATTCTAGATTGTACCTGTTGCCACCCGATGCCAATATTATCAATAAAGAGAACATTAAACTCACCGAGGCAAAGATGGCGTTACAATCATATGCTACTTAAGAAACTACTTCATGTGCATGTAGACATACGGATCAGAATCTCGATGCACAATGATCGACGCGACCATCCATGACCGTCAATACGCGACCGATATTTATATTCTTTGTGTAGTGTATTAATAGCATTACCGGAATGAAGTGTTATTGATTCTGACTGTGCCCGACCGGACGGTTAGCTTCTAGTACTCTTCACAATCACCCACTTTGATTATTATAATATACGTCCTCTAGATATATAGTTTTGTCACGTCTTTTTTTATGTGATAGGTCGGCAAACGAGCAGACGGATTACCTGATGGTAAACAATCAGCGCCGCCCATGGGCACCCGCAACAACAGAGTTGCCGACCTTTTAAGGATTTGGGATTTGGGAGATTTAGGGGGGGGGGGAGGATTGGGCGTCCGGTAACGTCACTCACACGGCGAAACACAACGCTGTGGTGTTTTCACGCCGGTTTTCTGTGAGGCCTATAGGTATCACTCCAGTCGAGCCAACCCATTCGTGCCGAAGCATGGCTCTCCCACCCTTAAGTATTAATTACGAACTTCAATCAAGTTTCTTTATGAAACTAAGTGTTTAGTTTTAGCGTAGACTGGATAAAAATACTGTTTGTATACCTACCGAACACAACCGAATTACAGACAGAAGTCTCTTGTCTATGTTACAAGGCTCTAGCACAAAATGGCAATAGTGAAACTGGTTCA